CTCCCCCCCCCCCCCCCCCCCCCCTCCAATCGCTGCAGTAATGCACCACAATCTGGCTCTGCAGTGCTATGCTGTAGTGAGAGAGGTCTGTATAAATTAATGGGCACCGTGTTAAATATCGTCTGTGTACGTAACACAGACGTAGATGACTTGATCAGTGCAATAACTTGCTCATCGGCAGCTCAACAAAAGCAGGGATGCTTCCTACTCATTAACCCTGCAAGCAGCGGGAAAGCTCGCCAGACAGTGCTCTCAAAGGCAAGCCACACGGTTCTGCTGATACAGCGCCTTATCACGTCGTCGAGATGTCTCAGAGCCCTTCCCGGGATGTACTGTGAAGTGGAGCGACTGGGTAAAACTGCTTATTCTGTTCAACAATGACCTCCGTTTCGTGTCCGAGTGCATCTGACTGTGTTGGGCAAACAACTCGCGTCAGTTCAACTGCAAACCTCCCCAGCACCGCTGTTAAAACATGTTCTTTTTGCTCCCGTGTTGGTGAGAACCGGCCAAAGCTGTTGGATTTAAAAAGCTGTGGATTTGATTTTTAACCCTAAAATCCTCCGGTCAACTTTATAACCATTCGGACTGACTGAGGTGCTTCTGGTTTGCTAACTCTGGCCAACTTTTCGCTCTGTTCGTGCAGAGGCAAATCCCGCAGTGTGGATTATGGTTATTAATGATAATAATCCTTGCATTTGACACCAGAAGCCAGTCACTACACTTGACAGTAAAATCCTGAGAAGCACTTTGAAACACCTCATCCACGTAGCAAGGTCGCTATGCCAACCACAAGGAATACTATAAAGAATATGAACTCTTCGTTAATACGAGGAACCGAGTCGGTAACAATAACTGAATGACAGACAGTTGAACACAAAGTCATGGGGTTTAGCCCCACACGATCATTGAGTTGATTAAAGGTCGCCAGGGTTCACATCGTATCGGGCGTTAATGCACAATTGTTCTACTTCTGTCCGCAATCTCAATCTGCACTGCATCTTGATGATCCTATTCAGTATCAATCACCCTATATACGTCAGATCCCTCTGTATATCAACCAGCATAGTTATAGTGTCAAACTATACAGTGTTCAGTGTCAATCCATACAGCACCAATCAGACCTACATGGCACCCATCAGTCCCCCACGGTATCAAACACTCTCTATGATGTTAGTCATCTATACAGTGCCAATCGCTTGTTGATGACAATAGCAGTATTGCCAACAGTCCTGGAGTCAGCATTTGCAGATCAATTTGCCAGACTCACCTGAATGTGTAATGTAAACGCTGCGTTCAGTCTGAAATCAACCACACATTTCAGCGTCTCTGGGAAGACTGATTGCCTTCCTCGCCCCGTACTGACCGAGATGCCTCTTGTTACAGTGCTTAAAACCTGTCAAAAACCTGTCACTTGTGCTGCTGCTTTGCTCCATTATAATTCTGAGTGGCCAATGGCAAAAGGGTTCCTATCACACTGTTCCTTTCACTCCAGGAGAGAGAGAAAAAAAATCCTGCCCAGCATTATGCAACTTTACTGGGTCCTCAGTCTCCTTTCTCCTCAAGGTCACAGCGTCACAAGAATGGTTCAGGAGGAAGAAAAAAACCATTCCCACCCATTTGATCTCACCCTCCCAGAATACCCACCCACACATCCCTCCCATGTCTATTAAATTAAAGTAATCCCAGTGTACAGACCTTGACTGTCTTTCCTGGTAATCCATTCCTGCTACCGACCAACCTCTGTGCAAAAGAAATACTTCCTGGTGTTTAACCTAAAATTGGCCTTCAGAACGAACCCCTGTCCTCACAGAAAGGCTGTGGAGGGCTTTGAAAGCGAGGATGAGGATTTTGAACTCTATCCACTGGGGGATGAGGAGTCTGTGGAGCCGGGAGAGGTTGGGGGCTAATAGATTCAGTTTGAACACTACAAGTGAATTAGTTTGGCGAATGCTTCCGCTCCCCATTGGTGGTCAGTGAATCTTCCCCTCCCCAGTCAAACACTGGCAAACATTCACTGTCTGAAGCCAGAAAAACATGATGACTTGGACTATTTAAGAGCAGAACTGAAGGGTGACTGACTGGCAGCTGTGGAATTTATCCCAGTCCAGGTCAGCAGTTTTCAGGAAAGAAAATTCGGAAGAGGAAAAGGACCCAGTGTTTTATTTTGTTCAATTACTGCTGTTTTGTGTTTGGACGAAAAACAACTTGAAGCACCTTCGCTCAATTGAAGATCTAAAGATTCAGAGATCACAGGATTGTACAACTACAGCAGAATTATTGGTCTTGATAGGATCTCACATGCCTTCTATGCCCTGCCCTGCACAAAACAGCATGTTTAATGTGGGGGGGGGGGGGCATTGCTAACCTTGTGTGCAAATGCATTTAGGGCTCTGTTAAATCTTAGTTCAAAGCCTGGATTCTTTAAAGAAGCGTCTGGGAGCTGGTGTGAAATGGAATCAGACTCCTCTTGATTTACAGAAGCGGGATTCGAGGAACTTTGGGGAACAAAGTCTTTTAGAGTCACAGAGAGAAAGACTTTTAATGACTCACACACACTCACTCACATTTCGAGGATTTCAGTAACTTTCTCCCTCTCACACACACACACACACACACACACTAAAACACATTCTTCCTCTCTCTCTCACACATACTCTCCCTCTCTCTCAAACTGACTCACTCATTTGATATATAATAATTTCAGTAACTCTTTCACTCAAGCAGTCTCACTCACACTCCCTCTCTCTCCCACGCAGTCTTCCTCACTTGCACACACAGACTCTCTCACACACGAGGTAAACAATCCCTCTAGTAATTTATCATTTTGAAATTTTCGAGTACAAAAACCAAAGCCGATGCCGCAGCATTTACCCTATAAAGCGGCTCATTCTGCACTCTTTACTGTATCTACAGCACAACTCATTCTCACATTGCGAATCCCATGGAACTGATTTAAACAAGATCTGGTTAGAGTGTGTTAGCCTAACAGCCCTTGCTCACTCTATAGGAGACCAGGAACAAATCGAAAGGCAAAAATAGCAGCTTCTCTACCCCCCGCCCCCCAAAAAAAGAGTTGGATGGTGTCTGCAGACATCTGAAATCTCTCTGAAATCTCTCACAAACGCATATACACATTCTCTCTCTCATTATAATAAATAGAGTGCAATCGCCAAGCACTGAGATAACAAGTTTCTCCTTTGGGGACAAGCCAATAAATAACATTCAGTCTACAGGTGGATGGATGCAAAGCACATACAATAACAAACAAAATCCCTGCCTTAATGTTTCACCCACAAAATCTACAGTCAATTCACTTTACAGTGTATCCTGTGAAGCGCTTTGAGACGTTTCGATGATGTGATAAGGCACTACATCAAATGCAAGGATTATTATTATACTTAAACATTGTTAATAATAATAATAACAATATTATTATATTAACGTGTTGTACTGAGCCACACACACAGCTCAGAATTGTACTGGGCATTGCAATCCAGTCAAAGGCACAGCTCTCCTGCACAGATAGAAAGAGAGAGACAGACCGCAACTGCTTAAACCTGGGAAACTTGAACTAACAAGCGCTTTCTTTTTTCCCCCAAAAGGGATGAAAACCGCATCTTTTTTGCGGTGGTACTCGGTTTCTGACAACTGAAGAGAATTGTGTGTGGCAAAGTTTAAATAGCCAGATAACGAGCGAGAGAGAGAGAGAGAGAGCGAGACTCACCTTGTGAATCCTTCCAACCAGCCTCACTCAGCAGACAGGCTGTAAAGCTTCTCGGCTTCCCATGCGTTGAGTGGCTGTGTGTGGAGTAGCTGCAGTGCCTTGTGCTGAACAGAACAGAGGAGAGATGCAATAATCCTTACTTAAAGGCGGCTTACCACTTACTTACAGCCGACAAAAAAAACTTCCCCTTCCCCACCCCCCCTTCCTTTTGTTCTTGCCTCACTCCCTCCCTCCCTCACACGCACCTTTCGTGAGCCGTACTGATTTGCTGTAGTTTTTTGTGTGCGGGTGTCTGACCCCCCCAAGCAAACCCATCAGCCTCTGAACCAAACCGCTTTGTGGAGTGTTCCACATACTATGTGTGTGTGTATGTTGGTGTCAGATTGCCTGGTAGGGAGTGCACACTCTCCCACCCCAACCCCTGTTGCTTTAGGGAGCTTCTCTCTTGTGTTGTCCTGACCAACAACAACCCCCCCTCCACCCCCCCCCCAATAAAATTGGTCGCGCACTCTGTCTCCATTTGTGTGACGTTCATGTGTGCAAATTGGCTGCCGCGTTTCACCCACAAAATCCACTTTACAGTGTACCCTATGAAGTGCTTTGAGACGTCTCGGTGAAGTGATAATGCACTATGTCAAATGCAAGGATTTTTTATTGTTACCTAATCCTGGGACGTCCTCCTGACGTGAAAGGCGCTTTATAAATGGAATCTTGTTGTTGTTGTTGTTGTTGTTGTTGGAGAGTTTAGGTGCAGTTTACCTATAAAGGCTATAATAGCAATCCTTGCATTTGATACAAAGCAAAAAAGAAAGCAAAAACGACACCTTTTTCACACCATAAAGCATTTCCAGAACTCCCTGGTTAATCGCTTGGTTCTTATCCAGAGGATATTATAAAGTAATGATAATAATAATAATCCTTGCATTGGATACAGAGCTTTTCACATCCTCTAGACGTCTCAAAGCGCTTCACAGAATATGCCGTAAAGTGAATTGCCTGTATTTTTGTGGGCAGCCAATTGCGCAGAGCAGTGTCCCACAAACAGTCGTGGTTTGAGCGACTAAATTATTATTGGTGTTTCTTTTCTTGAGGGATTGTTATCAGGCGAGTGGAGTAAGGAAACTTGCCCAGGGTTTTGCCGTGCCGGGAATCAAACCCGGGTCTCTCGCTTGCGAGGCGAGTGCTCTAACCGCTGAGCTACAGGAACTCCACATACTTGTTGTGTTGAGAGGCACTCCCAGTATCCCCTAGACAACAGACAACAGAAAGCAACCAACGCAGCCAGGCAGGCTTGAAAGCAGACACATTTGCATTGAAAAGTACTGAGGGCAGCGATCACCAACTTGCCCTGTGACACAACGATTCACATTAAGTGGGGGAAAAAGCAGAGGTACGTGACCCCAACGCTTTCGTGCAAACGCCCCCCCAAATGTTGCCTTTCGCGTCCAAAAAGTCGTTGATGTTTTATCCCTCACCCCCGCCTTGCCCCCTCCTTCCCCTCTTTTAGATCACAACTCAAATCCTTCCTCTTCGATCGTGCTTTCGGTCACATCCTCCCTCCGCCTGACTCGACATCAGGCTCCGCCACGGTTAAGCGCTCCGAGACACTGCCCCTCGTGAACGACGCTATATAAATGTAAGTTGTTGTTCTTGACGAGAGAGGGAAGCGAAGAGAGAAATAGAGAGGGAGAGAGCGAGAGAGCGAGGCAGCAAAGTTCTTGACACCTTTGCAAAATCTCAAGGTTTTGCAACTATAACAAAAAGGCACTTTGTTTTTTTTCCCTAAAAAAATATAATACAAGGGGTTGGTTTATTCAGCGATAACGCTGGAATCTGCCCTCTCCTTCCTCCCACCCCAGCATTCGGAAAGGAATGAAAGAACACTCTATACTTTCTGTGCTGCTGATATTAAAAAAAAGTTATTCTAACTTGCTTACAATGGATGTTACTTGTGTCGCTTTGTATTGTTGTGCGTGTTATGTGTGTGTGTGTGTTGGTGTGCGTGCTATGTGTGTGTTGTTGTGTGTGGGTGTGCGTGCTGTGTCTGTGTGTGGTGTGTGTTATGTGTGGGTGTGGTGTGCGTGTTGTGTGTTGGTGTGGGTGTTATGCGCGTGTTATGTGTGGTGTGCGTGTTGGTTGTGTGTTAGTGTGCATGTTATGTGTGTGTGTGGTGTACGCGTTATGTGTGTGTGGTGTGCGTGTTATGTGTGTGTGTGGTGTGCGTGTTATGTGTGTGTGTTGTGCGTGTTATGTGTGTATGTGGTGTGCGTGTTACGTGTGTGTGTGGTGTGCATGCTATATGTGGTGTGCATGTTATGTGTGTGGTGTGCGTGTTATGTGCGTGGTGCATGTGTTATGTGTGTGTGATGGAGGGAGAGTATTGTTCTCCAGTAAGAATGCTAAAATGCTGATTTATTCATCTTACGAAATGAAATAAAATTGCTCATTCACTTCAGGGCTGTTTGTAGGACATTTGTTGGGTGCAATTTGGCTGCAGCATTAACCCTCAAAATACACAGTCACTACCTTTTAAAGTATAATCCTGCAAAGGGCTTTGAGATGTCTACACAGGTATATCCAAATGGCTTCCATGTTTCGCCCACAAAATACACAGTCAATCCCCTTTACAGTACGTCCTGTGAAGCGCTTTGAGACGTCACAATTACATGGTTAAGCGCTATATCAAATGCAAGGATTGCTGTTATATCTTTGAGATGTTTCAATGCTATAGGCATCTTATCAATTGCGAGGATCATCACTAATATTAACATAAATTAGGGAAAAAATGCCTATTTCTGGCTCGATGAATAAATGCAATGCTCAGTGCTGCAGCAAGCCGGGATTTGCAGTGAGCTGAGATCCAGTCAGTGTTAGGGGGTGAGAACGACAATTAGCATTCCAGATCAGACGCGCAGACAGAAACCAATCCAAAGATCAGCCTGGGATAAAGCTTCTGATTTATGAACAGCCGAGGACAGCGACGGGCTCTGTGCAGATGCCCTCCCTGGTCAAAGAGCCTGCCCGGAAACTCAGCGTTCAAACTGACACAGAAAGGAAGGGTTACATATGGTCCCAGCATTGATACCTCCCAAAGCAACCACACAAACCACTGCCAAAACCAACTCATTACAGACCACGAAAGGTCAATCACTTAAACTGCAAAGTAATCTTCTGTAATTATATACAACACAAAATTACACTTGTATAGCGCCTTTCACGTCAGGATATCACTGTGTACACAATTACATCCACACACACACACAGTGAAACACATGTACACACGTCCTGACAGACGCATACACACCAACACACACACACTCACACAGACGCACATTAACACAGACGCACAATCACTCACACTCACATGTGGAATCAGTTAAAGGCAAAGATCTCAATGCCACATCATTAGTATGAGGAAGCTGTGAAGAGAGTACCAATCACTTTTCTCTTAATGCTGTGGGCTATGTTTTCTGCTCAACATTGGTGACAAAAAAAATGTCTCCCTGTGCGTGAAATAGCACTTAATCCTCGGTATTGCTTACAGCATCGTGGAACAATGTTACAACCCCCGCCCCGCCATCACCAGTCTAACAATCAGCACAGAATAAATGGAATATCATTCCAGGTAATGGCTTGATCTGGCTGTTGTTTTATTCACTAGGAAGATCTAAATATAGTTTGCTTGTCCTTGCACGTATCCTGTCATTAATTACCCCACATATATTACAATATACACAGTAGGAAAGGAGTTGTTTGTGTTGCTTTTGATTAAATAATTCAAGGGAAAGAATAAAAAAAGAAAACAGGGAGAAAAGGGCAGGCTATAGGGTCTGGAGGTTTGACATTCATGTCAATGACTCACCTCATCATTCATGCCTCTCCTCTCCCTTTGCTCTGTAAAGCGCCCCGGAGAACACTTTACAGGGAGTGAGGAGGTGACCGTAAGCCCAGTCGAAGAGGAAGGTCCTCAAGCGTGGCCTGAAAATGGGGAAGGAGGGGGCAAGGCAGAGAAGGGATAGAGGTCGCTGAGGGAGGAGTGGGTCCAGGACGGAGGGGGTTGTGAGGGGAGAGGGAGAGAAAGGAAGGTGGATAGGTGTGGTCTCTAACCTGCAGCACTGTTGATAGCAATCACACAATAACATATAATAAGACAAAGCACTTAGGGCTAAGGCAGAAGACAAGAGAGTTCTGCCCTGTATCTCTCTCACCTTCTAGTGATATCTCAGCATTCTTCAGCTGTCGATGTTACTTCGGGGCCAGATTAAGTGGGACAAAATATGTGATTGACCCTTCCCTTTTAAGGTGGGGGGTAGGTGGTGGTGGTGAAGGGTGGTTATGGGGGGGAGGAGAGGAAGCGGAGCTGGGAAGAAAAACAAAACCGTTCGAAAAACACCGGATTGATTCACAGGGATTTTAATTTTTAAAAAAATAAAATTTTAAATAAAAAAAATAGTCAATCCACTTTACAGTACATTTCTGCGAAGCGCTTTGAGACGTCTCACCACGTGACAAGGCGCTGTATCAAATGCAAAGATTATTATGTGTTATACTATTTGCGCATCCCTTTGCCCCTGATAACACTGAGCCCATCTCCAAGTCGAGGCAGATCAAAGGCTTTAAAAGCGGTCTCAGAGGGCAGTCAGTGCAACAGGTTGTATAGCTCTTCTGCTAATCACAGAGACAACGTCTTATCCACACCTGCAATGCAATCTGTAAATTACCTCTGCGACGGGAAAAAAATTCCCCTGGCTCTTTTTTCCAAGCTTTTTGTTTGATACAGAAAAAATAAAAGCAAAGAGGCTTTGCACTGGAAAAGCACTCGGGCCACTGATACTTATATAGCCTGTGAAGCCTCTCCACATCAGCCTACCCCCCCCCCAAACGCACACACACACACGCACACATACACACCAACCCCTCAGCTCAGCATCCAGAATCCCAGATTTAAGAAGCTCCAGTGTCAACAGTTAGAATGATAATCCGCACATTTGATACATCAAGTCATTGAAAAGTCTCAAAGTGCTTCACAGAATACGCTGTAAAGTGGATTGACACCAAGCGGCAATGCGCATCGTAACATCTCTTAGGAATCACTGCGATTGCCAAGAATGTGGCTGAGTTGCACCTCTGCGGCAACAACAAGATTACATTTGTATAGCGCCTTTCACGTCGGGAGGACATCCCAAGGCGCTGGACACACAGAGTTACGGACCCGAGCTGAGGGTCGGGGTGGGGGAGGGTGGAGGGCAGGGGGGGAAGCGGGGAGATTGAAAGCACAGTGGAAGAGGAGGGTCTTGAGGTGGGTCTTGAAGGTGGCGAGGGAGGGGGCGAGACGGAGGGACTGCGGGATGGAGTTCCAGAGAGTGGGTGCAGAGTGGCGGAAGGCCCGCCTGCCGATAGTGGGGCAAGCGAGGCGGGGGACGTGAAGCAGGCCAGAGCCCGCTGAGCGGATGGAGCGGACAGGGTGGCATTCTTTGATTGATGCAGGTGGAAGCCTTGCTTGTGTAAGGTGATTGTGTGGATGGTCTGTGCTGTTCCCTGGTGGGGGGAGGAGAGGATAAATTTAAAGCAACCGTGGCCCACAATGATTCAAATTAGGATTATGTAAATGGTATGAATCAAAGTCCTGTTGTTGACCTCCCCACTCGCCAGCTCACTAGCTCAGTCCCTCAAGAAAGTTTGATTCCTCTTTTGATGATGGGGACTTGTTGCAAGATCCAACACTGAGTTCACATAACAGAAACTGGAGATGAAACAAGACCACCTTCCTCACCTTCCCACCACCTCCCCACCCCCATTCCCGATACTATACTTACAGGTGGTGACAATGTAAAAAAAAGGTTTAAGGTTTTACCAGCATTAGTCAGTGGATAATGAGTCATTTGTTTCTCATTTGTTTCCTTGACAAGTCCTTAAGCACAGGACTTGTGAAGGAAACAAATGAGAAGAGTTACTGTGTGCTGATAGAGAGGGATTGGTGATTATCCTGTTTGTACAACGGATCTATCAGTGCAAAGCCGTAATGTGTGTCAATGTGTCTCTTCCTCTCCACCCCTCCTGAAGTTGTTGATTGGCCTGCACTAGGATATAATAAATAATCCTTACACTCGATATATAAATGTATATTATATTTGTATTGATGTATTGTTTGCCTGGCACGTCGGGATGTATGCCTGAAAGCATTTAACAGGATAGACTGTAATGTGGAATCAGTGGCTGTACGTGTTTGTAGGGGAACGCAGATCCAATTTGGGCACAGCAATGTTCCGCAAATGGCCAATTTTATCTGGGGGGAGGGATTGTCAGGCGGGACACAGGGAGAGAGATTAAGGACATGGAATTTTCTCTCCCAATGTTGACAGGGTGGGACAGTTGGTTTAACGTCTCACCCGATGATCAGGTTTTGGGACAGGCGATTGTTCCTGAAAATATCTTCTTGGTTTGATCTGCAGTTTGCCAGATGCAACACCCAGAGGATCAAGCCAGAGCTGAGAGAGAGACGTATGGAGATGCTCTCCAGCTTTACCTGACAAACAGCAACAAATTTCAAACTGCAGGAACTGCAGACAACATTAATCTCCTCGCCTCGGAATACCAAGCCAGGTGAGATCAATACTCTTTTCAGGCGTTTCACATATAAAATAGATTCCCAGGAGCGTCAGGAATAGCCTGCTCTCAAGAAACATTCTAAGAATAATAATGATCCTTGCATTTGATATAGCGCCGTATCACGTCTTCGAGGTGTCTCAAAGCGCTTCACAGAATATACTGTGAAGTGAATCGACCGTATGTTTTGTGGGCAAAATGTTGCCTGATGCCCGGCTATGTTGGTCTATTTGCAATTCCAGGATCTCCTCACTGAACAATGACATCCAGCAGAAGGGAGCAGAGATCCACACACTACAATCACTCCTGTCTCAGAAAGACTTTGAGCTCTTGTGTGCACTTCGCTCCGCGGCCAAACCCTCCATCCAGTTGTCCTTCACGAGGCGAGAGGTGGAGGAAGCCAAGAGCAGCTTGAAGGAGCTGCAAATCCGGTGAGTCCCATTATGTCCTACTGTTTTCTTGGGCTGAGACATCAGGTGGTTTAACAGCGAGCATAGAGCCAGTGGGAAATTAACAAGCGTTGATCTCCGATAGGCATGATCTCAGTGAATGCCTGAAGCAGAAAAATTGTGCCAGGAAATTTAGCGATATCTCATAGCCTGGTACGATAACCAAATTCCAATCAGACCTTTATATTTGGTCAACGGGATGTCTGACACATGCGGAAACCCATCAGCACTGCACTTAAGGATGGTGATGAGTTTCTGCGTGTGTCAAGACACCAGGCTGACTGAAAAGAATAAGCCTCATGCCTTCTCCTTACTCCCTCACACACCCTTTTATTCCCTCATGTGTATAACGCGGCGTCCTCTTAAATCATCTATACTGCTTCGACCATTGTTTCCAGCAGTGAGTTTGAAACCTAATGAGTCAAGTAAGCAGCTCGTGCCTCAGACAAACGTTCGACACCCCTGAGCTCTGTGGAGTTGGGAGCAATTACTCCGCATACAGCATTGTCCTTGTTCACTATCAGATCCATTAAGAATGATTCACAGATGTTAGGCTTGCCGGGGGCTGAACTAGCAGCGAATGATAACAGGTCGGCTGATGCAAAGGACACAAATATTTGGGTAATGTAATGCAAATTCAAGATGGATCTGGATAAGGGACCCACGCAGGTTGTCATTAAACATGTCCGACTGTGACTGAGGTCAGATCCCAGAGCAGATAACGCTCGCGAATTCTCTACAACAGGGTGAGAACAGAGGCATTTCACGTTGGTTTCATTGTTACATAGAGCTTGTGGGACGCTGTGGTGCACGATTGGCTGCTGCGTTTCGCCCACAAAATATACCGTCAATCCATTTTACAACATATTCTGTAAAGCGCTTTGAGAAGTATCAATGACGTGATAAGGTTCTGTATCAAATTATTATTGTTATATATTATATGTTCACCCCAATTCCAGCTCTATCTGAACGCACGCTACATTCCCAGTCACACTAAGACACAGGCTCACAGCCACAGTAATAAATAACAAGAAGCCTTACATGTGGTACAGCACCTTTCACGTCAGAAGGACGTCTCAAAGCGCTTTGCAGGATACACTGTAAAGCGCAGGGACCTTGTGAGTGAAGGCGCAAACAATTTTCACACAGCGATGTTCAGTAAACAACCTCAAAGTGAGTGATTGGGTTTAAATACTCAGAACTGCTTTCTTTATCTGCATTTCAAGCAGGTGCTTTGCCTGAAGGCAATAGCCTCTGATGTGGTCTCCAAGACATAAAAAATATAATTACCCGCCATAAAATAACATGTTCTCAATAAAACTACTGTCGAAAGTAATTTTGTCCTCTCGTTCCTCCCAGTGCCCTGCCCTCCTCCTCCGAAGGTTGAAAATGCTCTCGATTTCCGCAGATTTTTTTTGCCGCCCTCCGTACATCACAATGCCTTGCGAAATCCTAAGCCACAAGTTTCGATGCACTACTTTATCTGGAGGACTGCAGGTGAAGCTCCCTTCTCTTTTCAAAGAGTGCCCTGCAATCTCCAACATCCGCTATTCGAAAAGAGAAAGAAATTTCTCTCTCCTGGTGTCCCGACCGACAATCCCCACAGAAAAAATTGGTCATTCACTCCGTAGCTGTTTTTGGAACATTGCTGTGCGCACACTGGCTGCCACATTTCGCCCATAAAAAATACACAGTCGATCCACTTCAAGGTATATCCTGTGAAGCGCTTTGAGACATCTCGACGACGTGATGAGGTGCTATGTCAAATGCAAGAATTAATATCGTTATTATCATTACGTGGCCAGGTACACATCCGGTTGTGTTATGATAAAAATAATCCTTGGCTAAATATAGCCCCTTATCACGTCTCAAAAGTAATAATAATAATCCTTGCATTTGATATAGCACTTTTCACGTCGGGAGGACGTCCCAAAGCGCTTCACAGAATAGACTGTAAAGTGAATTGACTGTATATTTGTGGGCGAACGCAGCAGCCAATTGCGCACAGCAGGTTCAGAACAAAAGAACAATAATATAATAATAATCCTTGCATTTGATATAGCGCCTTATTGCGTCTTCGAGACGTCTCAAAGCGCTTTGCAGAAGATACGGCAAAGTGAATTGACTGTATAGTTTGTGGGCGAAAAGCAATGAAATGAAAGTGAGTATCAGTCACTGATTGCCCTTCCTTTTGGATCTGCTGTTGAAGTTTGCCAATGTGGAACCGTAATCACTTATGTTTCTGTGCCCTTCCGGGACCTTTGCTCTTGGGGGAAAGGTGTCAAGAAGTCGAGGCTCAGAAACTCGACCTCTGTCAGGAAATCCGGAAGCTAAACCGTCAGCTCGAGACACAGAGCAAACTGCACATCCAGGTAAAGCCACCACTGCATTCAATTCAATTCAAATTCCAGGTCCTTGCCCTCCCGTTTAAATATACCCCTTCACCCCACACCAGCCTCACCCCCATCCCTGATCCTCCTGCAACCCTATTGCTCCAGCGAACATCAGCCCCTTCGCCTAACTACGTCCCCTTCGCGTACCTCACCATCAGTGGACAAGCGACCAGCCATTCTGCCCCCACTCTCTGGAACTCCCGCCACCAACCATTAAACCTTTAAACCTTTCTTTTCAACAACGTTTTTGGTTACCTTTCCTTCCCCTCCTCTCCTCACATACTGCACCCACCCCCAACTTGGGCTCCAGTCATCTCTGTGAAGCATTTTGAAGAGTTACGGATTTAAGGGTTCGAACCTGGGGCTTTCCAGCTGTGAATGGCTCAGCTGCTCGCTCACTGGGCCAGAACTCCAACAACTAAGATTCAAGAGGTTTCATGGCGGTTTATGGGACACAATAAATCCTGTGAAGCGCTCAGAGATGTCTCAACAACGCGATATCGCTCCGCACCTACAAATCCGCCTAAAGACCTTTTTTTTGATTGTGCTTACGGTCACCTCCCCACCTCCCTCTGGCTCGTTGTCAGACTCCGCCACTGTGAAGCGCTCCGGGACTCTATCCCTTGTGAAGGGCGCTGTATAAATGCAAGTTGTTGTTGTTGTTGTATCAAATGCAAGGCTTATTGTGATTTTTTAAAAAAATACAATCCGTAACTTTGGCACATTCCCCAATGTTAAGTTTCTTTTATTCTTTGTCTTCTCTTCAGACTCTACAGACCAGCAGCGACCACATTGGAAGACTAGAGGGGGCAATCGTACAGCTGGAGGCAGAGACGATAAGGACAGGCTTCGGGGAAGCTGCTCTGAAGGAGATAGTGGAGGATGTGAGGGTGATCACTGAGTTAGAACTCAGACGATTTCAGGAGAACCTGGTCCAGATCCAGGAACAAAAGGCAAGTCCAAAAGTTTTCTGATTTTCCAAAGCAACTCTGTTTTCCTCTTAAACATCACAACCAAGTTCTTACCATGAAACAGCGGAATCGAGACGGATAAAAGCACTTTCTATCACTAACCTGACTATGATCAGCCAAGCTCAGTCGATAGCGCTCTTGCTCTGAGTCACAAGGTTATAGGTTCAAGCCCCACGTCATGAATTTGAACTTGGAGTCTAGCCTGGGTGGATGTTACAGACCCCATAGCGCTCTTTGAAAAGAGAAGGAAATTTCTCCCGCTGTCCTGGCCAACAACCCTCTCACCCCAATAAAATTGGTTGCTCACTTCATGTTGGTTTATGGGACACTATGTGCCCAAATTGCACAGTGAATCCTGTGAACCCTTTGGGTTGTCTCAACCACGCGATATGGCAAGGATTATTAGAAGAGACCTGAAGATGGGGAAGAACAGGGCAAGGCGGAGGGATTGAGGAAGATTGTTCCAAAGCTTTGGGGCGTAGTGGCTGAAAGTACAGCCGCCGATGGTGGAACGGATAAGCAGGAAGCCGGAGCCAGTTGAGCGGGGGCAATGGGTAGTGGGTTGGTAGGTCGGAGAGGTAGGGAAGTGCCAGGGCATGAAGGGATAGCCTAGCAGGTAGGATTTGCTTCAACACAATGTATCTAAACATTCACATCTGATGCTGACCTGTGTGTGTTGTTCCACTAACAGTGTAGGAGGCTTAGATATTGAGTGAGTGTGAGTGATGGGAGAGGGAGAAAGACAGAGGTGCGATCAGACACAGAGTTCTGCTCCAATAGACTGAAATTTATTCACTGAGCTGAATAATAACAGGCCCTGAGCCAGGCTTTCAGTAAGTGATGTAGTGACAAATCTCTATCTTAATCAGCTGGTGGCTTTGAAGGCACAGATGAGCAGTGATCGAATCCTTTGGGAACGTGAGCAGACTGAGAACTTCCACCTTCAGCAGCACATAGAGAGTCTGATGAGCCAGGACACCTCAATGCGAAGCAAGGTCCGTGTCAACGAAGTTAAGCATCTTTCGAAGCCTGTGTCTCAGTCGGACTGTGACCGACCAGTTTGCTCACTGGGCTTCAGGTCCTGTTACATAAGGACAATAATTAATTGCAGCCTGAATCAGTATTAATGAGGGCCGTGGAGTTACACAGAGGATTGAGCCACTGAGGAGAGCTTGGGGAACTTGCCAGCAAAGCACTTTTCATTCCAACTCTTTTCTCATTCCGATTCAGTACAATGCGACACCACATTTCAAGCTTTTCTCTCTATTTTCCTATCTCTCAACAACAGCACTGTGCAGGTCATGGACTAAGTCAGACAATGCAGGGTCTGAATACAAGGCAAATTAGAAGAATAAGGTCGCAAGTTCACAAGAGAGGTTTAGATGAAGAAAGCCTTTTGCCCATTTGATCTCATCCTTCCGGAATATTCCAATGACAGCACCAAATTGCTTCCCAAACGATTCCAATGTTCACTTACAAAATACAGTCACTACACTTTACACTAAACCCTTGAAGTGCTTTGAAATTTCCTCACGGCATGAAAAGCACTTTATCAAATGTGAGGATTATTATTCGATGTAATATTTTAAATCCTTTTGGAAAAATTCTTATGGAATAACAGCCATTGTTTATTATACTTTAGAAATGTAATATGCCTTTTGTACTTTGACTTGTAAAAGAATTACAGTCTACAATAACCTGCTCCAATCGCATTCTGGAGATGTCCTGATTGTCAAATGATATTTTTTATTTCATCAACAACAACAACATAATTACATTTGTAAAGCTTCTTTCATGTTGGGAGGACGTCCTAAAAGTAGCTTCGCAGAAGGTTTCTGTAGGAGATGGATTGGTGGAGTGTGGGGGGTTGGGTTGGGGTCCAAAAATGTCCACTCTTCGCAAAGTCCACACCCATTAAATCCCACCTTCTAAACCCTACCCCTTGACTCTCTGACTCTCTGCATCAAGTCGAGTCAGATAACATTAAACATCGTTCCCCCTCCACCCACCCACCCCCTCCACCCCACCACACACACACACACACACAAGACATAATGGAACGATCAACGGCAATATTGTTTATACAAAAACGGGTTAATTCTAAAGTAGACATTGTGAAAGTACCAACTACCTGCAATTTTCAGTGAATTTCAGACAAGCATTTAGGTCCTCCTAACCTATGATATTACTGTCTTGCAATTCACCGTAAGAAGAGAAAGGGAGAGACAAACAGAGACAGAGACAGAGCGAGAGAGAGGTGCAGAGCTAGGAGCCAGCCAATAAGTTATTCAACCTCACATTGGTGTCAAACTAACAAAAGGGGTTTTGTTTAGGAAACTGACAAGCCTGACTTTGCCAACATTCCCAGGTTTCATGCTTTCAGACACCTTTGAAACCGAAGACGTTCCCCTTTCTAGTCACCTCTCCTGGAAGCCACAACCCTTGCAGGCACTTGGGCGTGATATCAACAGAGATGAAATGACATTGTTGGAAACAATTTACGGTTGTTAACATTTTTTTCTGAGAAACAGTCTGCCGGCAGAAAATAATCATCCCAGGTATTCAACCCAGCAGTAAGAACATTGCTGACACTTGGCGCAGTCACTCACCTTGAGTTATTCAGCTGAGAGCAAAAATTAGCATCAACAAGTTGCGATCTGTGGTATGGTTTACTTAGCTGTGAATTTCTCCTGTAGAGCACGAACCAAAGCACTTGTGTGATGATTGGCACCATAAAGGCAACACTGGAATCAGGTTCACATGACTTCTGGGTGGGGAACATCAGAGATAGTAACAGTGTACAAATCCACCAATTGTGAGCATGAGCAGGGGAGCAAATACTGTGCATGGCAAATGATCAAATGCAAACTATTCATTATCACGTGTGATTGACGTTTGGTCAACCGGTGTCTGACACATGCGGAAACCCATCATCATTGTAAGATTGATGAGTTTCTGTATGTGTCAGACACCTGACTGACCAACAAAAAGCCCCTGAGATAATAACAACATCAACAGCAACAATAAATTACATTTATTTAGCGCCTTCTATGTTGGGAGGACATCCCAAGGTGCTGGATAATGAGGAGTTTACATCCGAGCTGCACGTTGAGATGAGAGAGGGGTGAAGGGAGAAGATGACCGAAGGCACGGTCAAAAAGGAAGATACATTTATATAGTGTTCTTCGAGTAGGACAACATCTGGAGGCACTTTACAATGATGGGAGTCAGATGCCAAGCAGGGGAGAGGAGAGAGGAAAAGGTGGAGGTGATCATAGCTGTGATCGAAGAGGTACATTTTAAGACAGGATGGAATGAGAGGGGAGAGACGAAGAGTAGAGGGTAGAGGCGTGGCAGTTGAAAGCTTGGCCGCCGATGGTATGGAGAAAGCAAAGACACGTAGCAAATATGAACTGGCTGAGCAGGAAAGCAGAGAGTCGAGTGGGGGAGGTAGGAGACGAGAAACAAGTGAGGGTGAGAACTTTGAAATCAATCCGCTGGGAGACAGGGGGTCAGTGGACCCTGGCGAGGACTGGGGTGACGGGCATGACAATAACACATATCGCCTTTCCCCCACTATTTTGTACCGCTTTAAAACTGTTAACACTATTCCAAGGGAGAAGGGACTTTTGGGTTGGTGTCTCATCAACAGTCCTCCAGATAAACCGTGCCATTTGCTGTGGGAATTTGCTATGCATCAATCGCCTACTGTGTTTGCCTGTTTAATACACATTCGCTGCACTTGACAGCAATTCCCTGTGAAGTGCTTTGAGGAGAGGTTTCCACATTATAGTCTCTGTGTATGATAATGAGAGACTTGCTTTATTCTAAACTGTTGGGAAACATTCATTGCTATAAAGAATTAAGCGGCCATTTAAAGTTCCCATTTATTTTTGGAGACAGACGCTGAACAATATCACTGAGGCACTGTGTATGCAATGTAACCTGATTTGCCTTTCAATAACTTGTGGCAAGCACGCAAGCTAAATAACCTTACCTTTATTTGCTTAAAACAGGCCTGGACCAACCTGTCAGACAGGCTTCTCTGCTTCCAACAGGAAGACACGAGTTTCAAATAATCCAGCATTATCTGCAAAGTGTGCGACGAGCGTGTGAAAATCAGGTTGGAGACGAAGCTGCCAATTAGAAAGCTTATTCAGACCGAGAAATATCTTGGTGGATAAAAAGGGAGAGGAAATTGCAGTATAAATTCAAAGAGCGTTTCTTGAAAGTTGTTAAATTGCAGACAAAACCAGGTTTAACCCAAACCCATTCTTATTAGGCTCGGCGTCAGGCACTGTCAAGTGCTCCGAGCTGCGGCCCTGCAAGTAAAGCTCTATATAAATGCATGTTGTTGTTGTTATTACTCAGAAACACATTTGGGCACCAACGTAAACTAGCACTTAAGGGGAACGGAACTGGGTCAAGATTTACTCCGCATTTGGAGCATTCAGAGTTTATCAAATTGTTCAATTCAGTCCTCAACTCTGAAGCTGTTTTTTTCCCCCCAGAAGTTCCTAAGGTGCTTACATGAAGGCAGCTTCAAAATTAAGACCGGATTTAAGAATTTGCTGAAATTCTGGACACCCTGAAAAATGCCACATTTAAGATAAACGGAGTAAATCTGGACCCTGGTGGAATTTCTGCACCTGAATCATTTATTATTATTTTCCTGTTTTAGCTCAGGTCAGAGGAGCAACTCCGTGAGATGTTAATGGAAACCTTTTATCAGGAACACCAGGACAATGAACGTGGCTTAAAGGCATTGGACGAACAATTCCAGGTAGGTCTTGGCAGCTCAGAGGCTGAAATGACCCTGAAGGTTCTTTTTTCCCTTCTCTTTCGGGTTCCTAAATGCAACCGTTCTGACTATCGATTCCTGGCCTTTTTTGACGGAAAAAGAAACAGCCCAAGATTTGCTATTTGCCGGCCGTGAATTTCACGAGGTGATATTATACCAACAGGAAAACAAACAGCTTCCAGGCGAAGACTGAATTCTCCCTCTATTCTGGGCCGCCTTAGCTTTTAAGACAAAGCGTTCCTTATCCGGGGCTGAGAACGGGTGGAATCTGGGGTCCTCCAAATTTTAAGGATGTCAATGTCAGATCAATGGTGGACAAGGCAGTGCGTGTCTGCGCTCACTCTCTGGAACTACATCCTGGAGCCCCTTCGCCTCACCCCCTCCCTCGCCTCCTTCAAGCCCCTTCCACTTCGACTGTGCCTTTGGTCATCTTCCTAACACACACCCCCTACCCCCCCAGCCTTTGCCCTCCACCCCTCTCGACTCCAGCCTGCAGCTCGGGTGCAAACCCTTGACTGTCCAGCGCCTTGGGACATCCTCCCGACGTGAAAGACGCTGTATAAATACAACTTGTTGTTGTTAGATGGCTGTTATCCCTGTGCTTAGACCCTGCAGGTGGAGGTACTTGAGAAAATGCAGGAAACCGAAGCGTTGAGCTCAGTGCTACCTTCCCTGAAGGAGAAGATGGATGCATTGAAAGTGCAGCTGGACAACGCGGAGACCAGGTAATCAATAGATAATAGTCCTCGCCTACGAACATTGAAACGTCTCGCAGAGCTTTGCAGGGAATTGCCGTTAAGTATAGTCACTGTGTTATGCGCTTTGTTGACTAAAGTGGGAGACAAACTGCGCACAGCAACGTCCAACATAAGCAGCCTTAAAGCCCGACTCAAGACCTCCCTCTTCGACCGTGCCTTCGGTCACCCTCCTACCCCTTACCCTCCCTACAGTCCACCCCCTCCTGTGTCCTCCCGACGTGAAAGGCGCTATACAAATGTAATTTCTCACTGAGTCACTGCGCCTCACAGTAAAGAATCAAACTCTTTGGAGACACGATAAGGTGCAATTTCAAACGCAAATGCAAGATTATGTACTCTGGTGAAATTGCATTTCCTGCATCAGCGAGTCACTGAAATGGCATCGCTTCGAGCCATTGTGTGTTGGCCACCTGAAAAGTAGGTCACGCAAGCTATTTATTTAGCAATTAATTGGAAGACCTACAACTACATTTAGCAGCTTGCTCATGTAGGAAGTGAGGGTTTCAGTTCAGTAGAGAGAGGGAAAGAGAGAGAGAGGAGAGAGAGAGAGAGAGAGGAGAGAGAGAGAGAAGAAACAGAAATGGAATTTCCCCCTCAATTATATCACAATGAGACTTTGCGCTGTGACAGGAATGAGTCATTAACGCACGGTGAATTCACGAACTGCTTAATGAAGAGACAAAGGGGCTGTCGGATACTGTTAAGCGAGGGATACGATTCTGCGCTATTAACGGCTTGTAAAAAAAAAATCTCCTTTTGTAAACGCTTTGCCATCCTGTTTACGTGAATCAAGGTTACGTAAGGAGTGGACTGCCTCGGGCTGGAGGAGCTCGGTGAAGGAGCCACCTCGGCTATGGGGACCCCCAAACCCGAGCGCAAACCACCCTGCTCGCGCGGCACGGGAGGAGGGCGAGGAGGAGGTCGGCGTGGGTAAGGTCGCCGAGCAGCTTGACATTCGATCGGTCGGACCTGTGGTCTCAGCAGCTGTCGGGGTGACCTCTGAGCGAGATGGGAAAATTGTCCAGGGTAAAGACCAGAAAAATGGGATTAACACGCCTCCCTCCCCAACCTTCTGGAGCTCCATCCAGGAATCCCTCCACCTTGTCCCCCTCCCTTGCCTCCTTCAAGGCCCATCTCAAGACTTTTCCCTTTGAACGTGCTTTGGGCCACCCTCTCACCTCCGCCTACCCTCTACCTCTCTTGTTTCCTACCACCCCCCCACCCCGCCCCCAGCTCGGGAGCAAACCCTTAAACCGTCGAACGCCTTGTGATGTCCTTCCCAAATAAAATTGGTCATTCTTTTCATGGTTGTTGTGGAATAATGCTGTCCACAAATTGGCTGCTGTCCTCCAACCCCCCCCCCCCCCCCCCCACAAGCGCTGTGGGACACCTTCCTGACGTGAAAGACATTAATACCAAATGTAAGGATTTTTTTTACTGTAACTTCATATTCATTAGCAAATGGGCTTTGTGGCCTAAATTCTGTTGTGCGCAATTGGCTGCCGCGTTTCGCCTACAAAATGTACAGTCAATTCGCTTTAGAGTATAATCTGTGAAGCACTTTGAGTCGTCTCGAAGATGTGATAAGGCGCTGTATCAAATGCAATGATTGTTATTATTATTATTCCCAGCTAAGAAGGGAGACCTTTTCAACCAGTCAGTCAGGGTTGGATTCAGCATGCCACCTGGATCCCATGAATGAGATTCATTCCCTGAAGTGTTAATACAACATCGATTAAGTCTTAGTCATTTGATGTTAAACTTTTGGCTGTTTAACCAGATCCCCCAATGTCTTTGGCTGAAGGCTCGGCCTCCGGGAGGACTTCAAGTGAAGAAACATCCGACAAACCAGGGGAGCAAACCTTCCCGACAAGAGGCTATCGAGTGTGTAGCTTTGTCCAACCTGAGACTGAGAGCGAAGCCTCGATCGGGTAGGAACCAGGGCCACAAGAGCTCGAGAACTCGAGAAAGAGAAAGAGTGAGAGAGAGAGAGTCCAACAGGGAGGAATTCCACCTGGGTCTAGATTTACTCAACTTAACATTCTGATTTGGGGCAAGGAGGCGGCATCGAGGCAGGGAATCTGATCACTCGATCCAGACTTTTTATGGGACGCTACTGTGCTCGATTGGCTGCTGCGTTTCGCCCATAAAAGACACGTTCAATTCCACTTTACAGTATATCCTGTGAAGCGCTTTGAGATGTTCCGATGACATGATAAGGTGCTGTGTCTAATGCAAGGATTATTATTATTCTCGTTGCTGAAGGGGATCGATGTTGTCAGGGAAGCTTAAGGGGAGCGCAGCAGGCCTGTGCTAGCCGAGAGACGGAGGTGGGGGGGAGTGGGGGGGAAAATAGGATACAGCTGGTCAGAGAGGTAGGGAAGTGCTAGGGAGTGAAGGGATTTGTATGTGAGCGTAATGACCTTGAAAGTCGGCCCGAGACAGGTAGGCAAAGCGATGTGAAGCGGTTCTGGTGGAGAGTTCAAGTGGAGAAGGGGGCGTGGGAGGGAGGGAGGGGGATTTCGTGTCTCAAAGCACGGCTACTGATGGGGGGAGTGAAGGGAGCGAAGAGCGAGCATTAGATGATTCCAGAGGAGCCGAGAGAAAGGGCATCGATACGATCACCTCCGATCCTGTCCCCCAACCAAAAACGCACCCAGACATTTGCCCTCTGAAGGAGTTAATCGACACAACAACCGAGTTGCTTTGCCTGGAAAACGCAGCAAATAAATGATGGATTCCCTGAGCTTGCGATTTCGCGTCTTGTCTCAATTTACCGAGCCCGGCACAAATGCAGGCGGCTGCAACTGCTCTTCAGATTACAGACGGTTTATGCTGTTTGTGTGCGTAACCGTGGAGACGGGGCACTTGTCATTCCTGTTCAAAATACTGCGGTACTCGTAACAACACTTGCAGCGATTCAAGATTTTTTTATAAGTGTTCGAGAGATAAGCAGAAGCTTCAAGTGGTCATGGTGGGGGGGGGTGGTCTCGAGAGCAAGTTGGGCTAATATAATAATAAATAATGATCCTTGCATTTGATATAGCGCCTCATCACGTCTTCGAGACGTCTCAAAACGCTGTTAGCTCTTACCCGACACGCATTTTAGCCTCCATTCAGCAGCAGTGGATCCTGCAAGATTATCAAAGATTATTAAAGACAGGATAAGGATTTTACACTCTCCAAGGATTAAAACTGCCTTCTTCTCCGACCGTGCTTACGGTCACCTCCCTCCCTCCTCCTGGCTCGGTGTCGTGCTCTGAGACGCTGCCCCACCTGAGGGGCGCTACATAAATGCAAGTTGTTGCTGTTGCTGACCAAAATTTAGCCGGGGAGGGATGGAGAAGTGGGGTATACCAGCAGGTCAGAGAGGGAGGGAGGTACGAGGGAGTGAAAGCGTCTGTATGTGAGGGTGAAGGCCTTGAAAGTCGGTCCCATATAAAAAAAAAGGCTCATTACATGCACTTTTCTTCTGTCTCTCGCCTCAGCCCTGTCACCAGCGTCCAGATAGTGGAGGTCAACACCATGGGCCATTTTGTCCGTCTCTTCAACACCTCTCACGATAAGGAGGTGATCCTCAGCGGCCACTTTATACAGCAGAGTGTCAACAGCCACCCCATCGCTCTGTATCGTTTCCCAACTCCCACATTGCTGCCAGCACAACAGTACCTTACGGTAAATCTGAGCCCAGCACAACAGTACATTGTGGTATGTTTAATAGGACACCATTGGTTTAATCCCTTGGATGAGACGTTAATCCGAGGTCCTGTCTGCCTGTTCTGGTGGGAGTTAAAAGATTCCCCACGGCGCTTTTCGAAAACAGAAGGGAGTTTCTCTCCCCAGTGTCCTGGCCGACAAATCCTCCCAATAAAATCGGTCACTCGCTCTGGCTGTTTGTGGGACATTGCTGTGCGCAAATTGTGCTGCAGCATTTTGCCCACAAAATACGTAGTCAAACCACGTATTGCGGTGGATTTGGACATCCTGATCGGCAATCCTGTAGCACTGGTTATGATTTAATTGGGTGACCTTCTCCCTCACCCCACCCCAACCGGAGTTAAGTGCTCCGAGACACTGTCCCGGGTGAAAGGCGCTATATAAATGCAAGTTGTTGTTGTTATCACAGACTCACTGTTTGCAGAGATGACTGTTCTGCCTCGTGTCAGCACTCATTGCCTTCAGCAAACAATGAGTGGCCGCTGATTCCCGCTCAGGATCCTCCTGCCTTGTGACGCTCCCAATTCTCGCCAACGCTAAGTATTAATGTTACTTTTTCTTTCCTTTCTGTGTGTGTGGAAATCAAACCAGGTCTGGGCAGCAGCAGCTAAAGTTTCACACAGTCCACCTTCGGACTTCTTGTGGAGAGAACTGGAGAAGTTCAGAACAGGCCCAGACTGTACCACAACTCTTTGTAAACCAAATGGACAGGTAAATGAAAATAATAATAATAATCCTTGCATTTGATATAGCGTCTTGTCGTGTCTTCTAGACGTCCCAAAGCGCTCAAAATGGAATGGGATGGCGAGTGGGATAGCTGACTGAATGCCAGCTGGACTGGACTGGACTACTGGACTGCAAGCCTAACCAGGGAAATGTCATACACTGGATACAATGCAATTTATAATAATACTAATCCCGTCTGTCCAAGGACAAGGTGTTAACATTGTGGGCAATTGGTTGCCGTGTTTCACCCACAAAAATACAGTCAGTTCACTTTAAGGTATATTCTGTGAAGTGCTTTGAGATGTCTAGAAGATGTGATAGGGCGCTGTAGCAAATCCAAGTATTATTATTATGAGACATAAGGCATCCAGTTCAAACTGAGCTGTATCTGAGGTGCAGGTGCCAATGGGGATTGCTTTAGAGAGCCCTCTGTTGGACTCTTATTGAATAGGTCTGGGAGGTGGTGACTGACTGGCAAGTTACATACAGGTTCTGTTCCTGCTGAATTGAACACTCACGAACCAACACATCTCTTAGTCCTGCACGTGTACAAGCAACAGCGGGTTACCTACTGCAACCTTACCATCCCATCCGCTCCGTGCGCTCAGAAAACACCCCGCCCTACTATTGACGGGCAAGCCATTATGCCCCCTGCCCTTCAGTACTCCATCCCAGACTCCCTCCCGCCCCCTCTCCTCCCTGTCTACAAAACCTGCTTTAAGACCCGATTCCTCAACTGTGCTTTTGCCCACCCCTGTTAGCTGTGCGAAGGGCTCCGAGACATCTTACTGACACAAAACACGCTCGTATAAATGTGAGTTGCCATTGCCTGCCTATTCTCTTGACTTGGCAGCAATGCCTGGCAGAGAACTAACTCAACATTTACAAAACACCCAGGCTGGGGTGTGTGTGTGTGTGAGTTTGTGTGAAACCCTTGCCCAGCAGTTTATCTCTTTGTGCGATAAATTCCCATCAGGTCGCTGTCTGGCACACACCCCGCCACACATTCTCCGCCGCTGCCAACTCCTTTGACGACAGGGATGATGCTTCAGAGGAGGAGTGGGTCGGTCTGCCCCTGGCCGACCAACAGATACCTCGAGAGCGTTACTCCCGGAGCCAGGAGGTGAACAAAAGCGGTTTGACTCCCGCTCTGGAGAACACAGGCTCAGCTGCAACTTCAATCAACCTTAAGCTGGGCAAAGCCCTCTTACTGAAAAGGTACGGGTCAAGGCTTTGCTTACGGGGCGGTGGGCCACTCTGGTATTTTTCATTTAACAGTGGCCTTATATGTGAAAGCATCACACAATTCAACGGGTAACTTGGCAGGTTTATAAACCGTGGGGTTTTACGAATCTTTTTGCTAATATAGTTTGCGGAACACACACCGTGCGGTCAAATCTTTTTTTAAATAAACTTTTTAAACAAACGATATTCAACTTTGGTTTCTTGATCGTGCATTGTGTGAATATTCTTGGAATGGGTGTGTGCATAGTTGGAGTTTCCCTGGCTCATGTGTGTCGTAGTCAATTGGTAGGTGGGGTGGGGGGGAAAGAGAGAGAGAGAGGAAGAAATGGGGGATCTTCCACTCACGGTTCTTTAAAAGTTTATTGTATGTGGCTGTTGGGCAGGGGAACGAGTTGGGTGTTTAGTGGCCGGTGGCATAATGCAACTTAGTTCAACCCTGAGGCAGTTCAGTGATGATCAGCAAAACACTGCAAGAAAAGCCAACGCATTTGTTATTTCTAATTCTTTAGGGGGAAAAGTGCACCTACTTTGCTTTCATCAAAAGGTAAACGTCTTCAGACCAAAGCTTCCAATTGGACTGAACGCAGCACCTTGCGATGTCACAGCGCGGCAGTGATGGACTGTGGCTCCCTTCTTTATTCCAGCCTCAGGTCTGTGACATCTGATTCTCTCCCAGGTAAGGTGTTCTTTACAAAATACTTGCAGTCTCGAGAGACACGTGGGCCAAATATGTTTGCTGAGGTTGGCTGCGTTGGGTGGAATGGAGAGGAGACTGTGATTAGATTAGGCAGCTCTTATGGAGGAAGACAGCAGCAACAACAACAAACTACATTTGTGCAGGGCCTTTCACGTCAAGAGGACATCCCAAGGCGTCTGGACAGTCAGGGATCCACACCCGAGCAACACAGAGTTGATAGTTTAGATGGGCTGTTTTTATGCTGTAACATGCTATAGGGCCCAAATTTAGGTATTTCTTAATAATAGTAATCCTTGCATTTAATATAGCGCCCTTTCACGTAGTTGTGACGTCTCAAAGTGCTTCACAGCATATATGAGCGCTCTAAAACATGACCATGCGTGGAAGGGGCTACATAAGTGCAAGTTATTGTTGTAAAGTGAATTGATTGTATATTTTGTGGGCAAAAATTAATTAATTAAAATTTGAGAATTCCTAATAGGATTCCTTAATGTGGAATATGAGATGCGCAAATGAAGGGCTCCTTCAAGAGCTGAGATCCCTGCTATAGGCCGTCGGGAATTCTAAAGGGATGATGCTGAGTGGCTCTGAGTCTTCCAGATTAAGATGAGACTTTTAAAGGGAGTATTTCCTGTGGATGCAGTTATTAAATCTCACATTTGCTGCTTAGGTTTGAAGAGTTCGGATGTTTACTCTCCGCACTCCACAATTCAGACTTTAAGCCGATTCAGCACTTTGGAGGGACCGACTAGAAACGTAAGGCGCTAAAAACACAAACCAGCGTTTTTCAGTCCTTTACCCCCTTCCGGACTAGTGGAGGCAAAAACAGCAAATCCGTTTTCACTGATCGTATCAACGCAAGATCAGAAAAAGATGTTCGCCTGAAAAAAGGCTCTTTGGCCCATTTGATCTGAGCCTTGCAGATAACCCTTCCTGCCATCTTCCAAACACAGCATCAAACTGCGTCTTCTAAAGTCCCTGCACCCTGCGTAGCTCTGCACACACTTACTTGATCTGTGCAACAACAACAAATTGCATTTGTACAGCGTCTTTCAAGTCAGGAGGACGTCCAAAGGCGCTGGACACTCAGGGATCCGCACCCGAGCTGGTGTTTGGGATCAGGAGGGTTGGAGGGCGGGGATGGAAGGGGTAGGAGGGTGATCGAAGACACCGTCGAAGAGGAGGGTCTTCAGAAGGAGGCAAGGGAAGGAGCGAGGTGGAGGGACTGTGGGATGGAGTTCCAGTGCGCACACTTACTTGATCTGTGCACACATTTACGTAGCCTGGGCACACATAAACTTAATCTGTATATATGCTCACTGTCTGAGCATATGTACACACACTGACTAGTGATCTGTACACATCTTTCAGGCCAGGTTGGAGGCAGATTGTTCACGGACTGCGAGGAGCGCGCAGACAAAGCACCGATTCCGCCCGGCCAGTGACGTGCCCGCCTCCACTTGCGTTCGCATTGCCTGGCGATGAGGAAGCCGCTGCAGGATACCTCGTGGGGCACAGACACTGACCCATTGCTTCCATTACCTTGTTTTACTTCTTAGTTCTCTCCCTTGACGATTCTCTCCAGTGTGAAGTGATGACATGCTCTGTGTTGCTGATCACTCTGCCCTCTGAGACCCTACCCTTGTGTGAAGGGCGCTAGATAAATGCAAGCTGTTGTTGACCACTGTGTTCCGATGGTCTGGGAGTATAACCTATTAATATTTCAGCACAGCTTCCGAGGATCTTATTCTGGAACCCAAACTGTGCACAGTTGATCAAACTGAGTGTTATCCTAGACTTCTGAACAGCATCAGAGGAACACAGTAATCAAAACTGTGATGTGCCGAGTTAAATGTTAATTTGGACTTGACATGGGCTGATCCATATCTGTGGGACTTTTTAATGGTGTTATTTCTCGACTCATTTAGTTTGGTCAGTTAGTTGACACTGTTGAGCGTACATTTAGATTTTCCTTACTATCGTAGTGCTCTCCTGTTAATATTAGTACTGGATTNAAAAAAATATAGAAGATGAATGAGCAATAACCCAAGCAGTTCAATGACATCAGAAACCAAAGTTTAAATGTCTGTAATAGACACCAAACTTCAGCAATAAATTCTAGCCTTCAAATCGCAACCTTCTAAGACTCGCCTTTTTCAACCCAAGTTGTTTAGGAATTATGTTGGGGAATTATTTGGGGTTTTCTCTCGTACACTATCAATAGTTATTTTCCCTCTGCTTTTGATATCGTTGGTCGTCAACCCATTCATCAGCAGCGAAATCGAGAGTAGCCCTGTGGTCGCACCACTCCCAAGCTGTTGAATGATTCAATGCTGCCAATCTCCTCCATCGGTCAGTGTTGCATTGACCCAGTGCTGACGCTTCAGCCAATGCTGGCAACCTGCTGGCTACTGTGACAGAATGTCGCATGTCCCACTGTTTCGGATCACCATTCTCTGCTCCGGCAAGAATCAAACCAAGCAGCAGATTCCACGATTCCCGTACCACACTGACAGAATAAGGGAGTGCAGCAAAATACAAGGTTTCCAACAAAAAACACACTCTTTTGTATCGTGACATTAACCTGGTTACAGTGTATAGCCTGAGATACTGTGGGAATCCGAAGGACATTTCAACAATCCAAACAATGTACACTGGACGTCAAGGAGAGAGTACTCAAATATTGGCCACGAAGAAATTCTATCGAATGTTCTGGTTCTTTTTAGGAAACCAGGGCTAGGAACACTTAAAATATTTAATAAAAGCAACTAACACCCCTCATTTCAAATCCAATGTTGTTTGGAGCAAAAACTAACTAAAGGTAATCGTCGATTGAATTAACTATCCTTTGACCTGTAGCTCATGCACAAGAGGAAAAACAAAGGAAATACTTTTAATATAATTTTTTTTATACAATCACGTTCATCTCCACTGCAATTAAATAATCCCCTTAATAGCAAACAGGCCTCTTAAATTCTATAAAATAATAAATCCACAGCAGATGGTACTTTAAAATGGTATTTTAATTATCGACAATCAAAGAATGCATAGTAGAAAATAAATACACAATTTATAATACATTTTCTACATTCAAACCTTTTATGGATGTGCTGTACAGCAAAACCAAGCAACAAGTTACCAATATATACACCGCGATCATCAAATATACACATCCTTTTATTTACAGTAAGATTCGCAAGCCTTAAATATTTAGAAGGATAAAGAATGCATTCGAACCCTTATCCAATGTAAATTTTTAATTATAGATTAAATTAACAGATTAAATCAGGTACAATTCAATAGTGAGATGTGAACAGGAAGCAAATCCAGTGGACTCGGGACTATCCATCGGATAAATTTCAGACAAGAAATTTAGTTCAAACATTTTCTTATCACCAAGTTCCGTTTCCCGCTCCCTCACAAAGACGTTCAGTTCACTGTCTAGAGGGTATGGTTCCCTGAGTGTCAATGGGTCTCTCGTATCTATGTGGCCAGTATCTGTGCGTGAGCCTCGAGTGCTGCTAACAATGTGGGGTAGCAGCCCGTATGCACACATATTCAACTGTCGGGGAAGGGGGGGCACAACCTAGCCCAATCCTGCCCAATTGCACACTCTCTCCAGTGGGAATAGTTACTCAGTGATCAGTAGCAGAAATCCTGGCTAATTACGTGTCCTGTGGAACCCAGACACTAGGGTCAGTTTGCTCCTAATGCTTGTCTGCCTGAGAGCAGCTACGTCAACACACACCAGGGATTTGCTGCAGTCTACAGCTACTTGCCCAAACATTTTTTTGTGTGTTAGCTACTGAACCCTTATTCTGTCTCCTAATCACTTAGCTCCAAAATTGGATGTAATATTTTATTATTAGTTAATCCCTGTAAACAATTGGGGACACCTCACGTTAAAACGCATGTAAAATAATCAGCGGAAAGCAGGTGTCGGAGTCAAGCAAACTTTTAGGAGAAATAATTCTGCTGAATGTCAACAGGAAAAAATGCAAGGGCTAAAACGTCCTCTACGAGTAGTGCAGTTGGGTTTTTTTTAAATTCGTAAAAAACATTCTTTTCTGTCCTATTGAGGAGTAACATGGCTGAAGAAGGAACTTTGAGACACGTTTTACACATACAAATTAGATCTTGCAACTAATCTATATCAGCGATATTGCCCAATATTTGATATTTGTGGGTGCCCAAATGACCATCATTTGCACTTTAACATTGAAATCAACCTTAAGAGTGTTAAGGTTGTAAGGAAGTTGTGGGTGTGAATGTGTGTGTGCGTACGTGTGTGCGCCAAAATGTGTGTGGGAGGAGGCGATTCAAAAGGTCTATTCCGTGCAGTGACACACTAAAAGCACTACATTTTTTAAGTGGTCATGAGACCATTCAGTAGGACATGAGCAATCAAGTAGTTCTTGTGCTTGTATTAAAAGCTTGACTTGCACGCACTCTAGTTATTTGACTCTCCAATTTGGTGCAGTAATTAGTGAAACATGGTTACTCGAAAATGTCAGCGTTCCTGGTGCTGTTCAACCAGCCATTAAATATTCCTGGGAAAATAAATTCAGTGTTAGGGCAGTGTGCAGCAGGTTTGGTGATGTGAGGCCACAGATCCTGACAAACAGCCTACTCTGACGCTTGGTCCCATCAGCTCGTTGTCTTGCTCCCTCTGCTGGGCAGAAGCAAAGGTCTATTTGGCAATCGTTGCAGTGCAGGCTTTGTGGTCAGAGGATGGAGAGGGCTCAGTGGCAGAGGCTTCTCAGATGTTTTTGAGGAAGATCGGATGACTGGCTGATGATTATCAATAAGCTTTTGAGGACTCTCGTCATCTGTGGATCTGCCAATAAAAATATCAATAGTAAGAAAGTTTGAATTTGATACAGTGCCCCATCACAATGATTTGCTCTGAAAAACATTGGCTGTTGCTATTTAAGACAAGCAGCAGCTAATCTGCACCAGCAATGTCTCACAAACGACGAGATGAATGATTTTTCCTTTCTGGTGAATTTAGATTAAGGAGGAATTTGACCAGGATATCAACAAATCTCTCGACCCTTCTTTATGTCTGAGCGCCTTGCGACATCCTCCCAACGTGAAAGTTGTCGCATGAATGTAAATTTGTGTTGTTGTAATTTGTTCTGTCATTGGGTCTTTAAGATCCAGGAAGATGGGGATTTAATATCTTCCCCAAATCTAATTTAAGATCATCTATTTTTCGAATGGAATAACAATTGGAAATGGCGTTAACAAAACAGTGACATTTTAAAATCGATTAAAAAAATATAAATACTACAAATAATAATCCTTGCATTTGATATAGCGCCTTATCACGTCTTCGAGACGTCTCAAAGCGCTTCACAGATTATGCTGTAAAGTGAATTGACTGTATATTTTGTGGCGTGTGGATTAAGAAAATTTGCCCAACATTTCGCCCTGGCTGGAAATTGAACGCAGGTCCTCTCGTGTGCGAGACAAGTGCTCGAAACACTAAACTACAGGGCTCCACAATATCATTTATGTATCATGAGTACCTGGTGCTTCTTCGTCCTAAGACTGGTCTCAGATACTGAGTGTATGAGTGCGTGTTTTTCCGTTCTTCCACTCTAGTTTTTGGATCAAGTCCATCAGAGGGTGTAACTGGCCCCTCTTCACCCAGGACAGCAAACTCTTCATCAGTCCGTACAACGCTGGGCTCTGTTCTCGCAATGCTGTACGGCTGCACTTGTTCTAGCTGCACAGGCCTTCTCAAACGTCTGACCCTGAAATCAAGCACTTTCTGTGATCTTGTAGGCAAATCGTGAAGGGATGGAGGGCTAGGAGACGGTGGTTGACTTAAGGCTGTAGTCAGCAAATTGTCTGCGGTAGAAGACAAATCTGAAACGAGAACACATTTACTGTTTAAACCTGACTGCACAACCAGTCAGCCGTAAACAGTGGTTTGACTGAAAGCCAGCAGAAATCTGGTTCGAAAGTTTGAAGTAATGTCCACAAAAAGACGAGAAGAAGCTACAGAAGCAAACTTGTGTTCAGCAGCGTCTTATCCCATTGAACCATTTCAAAGCATTTCACAGGTATTTACTATCAAGTGGAGCGACTGAGCTTATAGGCAAGCATGACAGTTGTTTGCCCCAAACAAAGCACCACAAATAGTCATGGGACAAACAACCAATTTAACAGTAGGACTGTTAGCCAGGACGCCAGTTTAAACTGCCAACTGTTTTCCATTGAAGCATTTTGTGGGAAAATGAATAAAAATCACTCCAACTCACTTGGGGGAGGCGAAGGGTATAAAAATGAAGGACACAGAAGTTCTGGGGAAAGCCTCTCATTCGTCTCAGGGCAGAATTTCACTGCCTCCTCCCCCAAGCAGCCATCACTCAACTCCTCCTCATCACTGTGGTCAATCGTCAATATTTGTGGTTCACGATCCTTCCAAATCGCTTCAAGACGCCTTTAGAACAATATGTTAACATAGATCTTAACATGTAAATGGTCACACCTTTGGTATAAACAGTTTTACTAGGTCTGCAGGAGGCAAGACAATTTTAGGGCCAAAGTCCTGTAGACTTGGAGATGTGTTAAGACATTTGTTATTCAGATGCACGTACACACACATGAGCTCCCGTGCGCACACACACACATACACCCACACACACAGTGTCCGCCTTCATGACACTTGTCCTCTCCCTCCTCCACTGAGAAGTTGACCTTGCAAGCCAGGAAACGGGAATCCAAAGAATCCGTAAATATGGGATATCCTTTGCAACGTAAATATGGGATATCCTTTGCAACGTCTCCCAGGACCAACAGCGCAGGCCCTCCCATGAAACTATCCTTATAATCTCCTTACCCCTGACGTGCATATTATTCAAGCCTTTTGTCTTAAATTCACTCTTAGTTCAGAAGCCGGTTCTTTTTAATAAATGTGAAAAATCGGCATCAATTTAAGACTTTTGCACAATTGCTCCCCGGCTTAAATTTCAACAACAACCAACAACTTAAATTTGTACAGCGCCTTTCACGTCGGGAAGACGTTCCAAGGTGCTGAACAATCACGGATTTGGACCCGAGCTGGGGCTTGGGATCAGGAGGGGTGGAGCGGAGGGAGGATGGGAGTAGGAGAGTGATCAACGGCGTGCTAGAACAGGAGGGTCTTGAGATGTGCTTTCGAGGAGGCAAGAGAGGGAGCAGGGTGGAGGGACTGAGGGACTGAGTTCCAAAGGGTGGGAGCAGAGAAGCTGAAGGCCTGACCGCTGGTGGTAGGGCTGGTTGGATGAGGGAATGGACAGGTCGAGGCCAAAATAATCTTACAGCCTAAGACTGGGTGGAAATTCAGGCCTCCAGTTTGTAAAGTCTGTTGTGCTTCCACTCTGTTTGCTTCGCTAACCTGGCAGCACTTACTTGCCGTGGTCATTCCTCCAGGCCTTGAGTTCGGAGAAAATATCTTCACGGCTTTTGCTGTCCTTTTCTAACAAGTCAAAGGTGGATTCAGGACCGTGGAAATATTGGCGGACAAAGCTCCCTGCTGTTGCATACGTTGCCTAACAATAAAATTACCCAAAAAGATATCTAAATTTAAGCATTTGAAAGATATTTTTCAAGCACCAAATTGTATTCAATGGCTTTCTTTTGGTGTCCGTTCTGTATTACAGGCATACTGCAAAACATTACTGTACTTAATCTTTGTCCAAATTCACTGCACCTTTAAACTCCAACAGATATAGAATCGATAGATGTTGAAAGCAATTATGTGGTGAATCATTTATAAGAATTTTTTTAGTACGCAGTACGTTCACGAAGGGTCCCACTCCATTATTTAGTGAATAGTGTGAAAGCAAGCCCTTATCCACCTGCATGTGTGTGTGTTTGATGAGAGAGTGTGAGACAGATTGTCAGCAAGTGAACATTTCTAATGCACACTGATAAATTGGTGTAACTTTAATAATTGTGGTTTGAAGCGTCAGGCTATTGTGAAAAAAGGTGAATTTTGTATTCCAGCATTAATAATATTAATCCTAGGATTTGGTAAAGCGCCTTTTACGTCGGGAGCACATCCCAAAGCACTCCATATCTCCCGCTCGACCCACCCTACCATTGGTGACTGGGCTTTCAGCCTCTCTGCCCTCACCCTCTGGAACTCCCTTTGCCTCACTTCCTCCCTTACCTCCTTCAAGGCCGGTCTCAAGACCCTTCTCTTCGATTGTGCCTTTGGTTGCCCTCCTACCTCTCTGCCTTCCCTCACCCCTACACAAGCCCTACCCCATGCTCGGGTCCCAACCCCTGACTGTTCAGCGTATTGGGACGTCCTCCCGTCGTGAAAGGTGCTCTATAAATATAATTTTGTTGTTGTTGTTCATAGGTTTTACTATGAAGTGGAGTGACTGTGTATTGGTAGGCGAATGCGGCAGCCACAATTGCGCACAGCGATGTCCCACAAACAGCCATGAAACGTATGGGAAATTTTAATTTCAAAACAGCAGCCTCTGTCCATCCCTTTCCCAATCTCTTCCACTGCACATTTCTCTCCTCAACGATCACTAAAAATAGCAATCTGTTCTGCGAAATCTTTATAACAGGAAATCCCATCGGAAAGGTTTAGAGAAAAAGATCACTATTTTTAGTCATCAGCATATGCTTCCCTTTGGTCTCTCTGCTCCTGTTTTCCTTGTCTGTAGTTTTGTATGAATCCCCAATTCTTTTCTTTATCTTTCAGGTCTCTTCTTGCTACATTGCTATAGGAGTCTGTGTTGCCATTTCCTAACCTCCTTATTCATTCCTGCTCGAGTATTTTTCCCCTTCCTGCCTGTCCGCCCTTCACATCCAACACATGGTAAAGGAAGAAGTCTAAAATAAACAGGTCAAACAGCAGCACGAAGGACACGGAAAATAGTATCAATTAACACCGCAGAAGAGAGCGGGAGGGGAGAAATGAGCAGAGTTAAGAGACGTTACAAAATGTAAGACAAGATGAAACAATAAAACCAGCAAACTAACTGGAGAAATTATGTTTTTGAATTATTCCAGCGCATTTTTTAAAAATAGCTCTTGTACATTTTCTAGGTTCCCCTGAATGCCATCCATTCCTCAGCTCAATATTTAGGCTGGACACAAACTTACTCCCAGATCTTTGTTGCTTTAGCATACACCACAGCTAACATTATATTTGGGCTATTTGCCTGATTTGATGTGGGGGCCGGCCGAGAGGGGATTGGGGCGAACAATGACCGATTGCACAGTCAAAGAGGAACATTTTGAGACGTGCCTTGAACGAGGGCAGAGCGGGAGGCGAGCGAGAGGTACAACTTACGTCTAGTTTCTTCCTCCGTGCCTGAAGAGCTTTAACAGGATTTCCACAAATAATGCTGCCCACACCTTGGATGAAACGGAGAAATGATTGAGGTGATGGGCTGGAAATTATAGACATACTTGGATATTTCATTTGAAAGTGTAAATGCAACAGTTAATCTACAAAGAAGAATCTTAAAAGGTACTATAAAAATGCCACTTGTTAAGAAATTGACATAGAATATATCACATAATACTCCAACTACTAATAATCCTTGCATTTGGTATAGCGCCACTCACACTGGGAGGACATCCCAAAGTGCTTCACAGGATTTACCGCAAAGTGGAGTGACTGTGTATTTGTGGATGAATGTGGCAGCCAATTTACACACAGCAAAGCCCCATAAATAGCCATGAAGTGAATGAGCAATTTTATTTGGGGGATTTGTTGCCCAGGACACTGGGAGAAACTCTCTTTTCTTTTTGAATAGTGCCAAGGGTTATTTAATGTCCACCTGAATAGGCAGACGGTGCCTTGTGTTTCAACACCTCATCCGAAGAACAGCACCTCCGACAATGCAATGGAGTGATCTTAGCTTAAGCAAGTTCACGTTCCCGATGTGTATTGAAAGCTGTGAAAGAAATCCAGCAAGGTATTTCAGACGGGTTAGGGGTGCAGAGAACAGGGTCTTGTGTTTACCATGAGTTAAGTCACTTGCATCATCTTGAACAAGAAAATCACTGGATCCTGAGTAGCAGGCCTCAGCAGACCCTGGACAGGCAGTCATGTGTCTCCTTGCGCTGTGAGGTCTCTGGGGAGTCGAAGGCCTTTGCATTAAATATCTTCTAGATCCATGAATGTGGTGACCAGAGCTAGGCCTACCCTGGGATGAAACATGATAATGACCTAAAGGTTTAAAACCAAAACAAGATTATTTTTTCTATGTCAACAACAACAACTCGCATTTATATAGCGCCCTTCGTGTGGGGTAACGTCCCGGAGAGCTTGTCGTGTCTCCATGCTTGACAAACATTGCTTAGCGTTCAGAGCGTTCAAAACAAACACTAAATCATTTTGAAAAGCAGGTAAATTCCCTTCTGGGACAGAACTCTGCACAGAACATTATGTTCACACAAGATCACAAGGGAGATGATGGAAGCCCTTTAAGCTCACGTGTCCTTTATAAAGACACTCAGAAGTAGAGAAACTCTGTTAGATGCAGTATATGATTGCACACAAATTTATTTTTGCTTGGAAAGCATCCATTGTAGAATAATACAATCGCAACGTGTTCACCTGCTAGNTTTTTTCATTGTGCACAACTAGAAGCGAGTTGATGGGCACAACCCCAGAACTTTTATATTCCCTCTCCGTCTTAGAAGTGCGTGTTAGAGTGTTGGAAAGGTGATTTTTAATAATCAGTTGGAAGTGAGTTCACAGACCTAGGTTTTCAAGATCTCTGAGATCATCAGCTGTGATGCAATCTTTAATGGCCTCCTTCACAATTAGCCAATCCTGACCGACTGGACTGTTGGCTTGAATGCAGGTCTCGTTTGCAGGAAAATCGTCCAAGTACTTTAAGTGCGGGATTAGGCATTTAACTACCTCCCTATAGTTGTAATTTGAATCCTGAAACAAACAAAGTTGACAACAGCATTCGACATGATTAAGGGTGCACTGGCTAGGTACTTAATCTTAAAAGTTTGATCTCACCCAAAAAAAATTTAAATGCAATGCAAAATGTCAGTTAGCTTGTGGTCAAAACTCACGACTAGTTTAAATAGTAAAATTTGAGGCATAATAAAATAATAATAATCCTTACATTTGATACAGTGCCTTATCATGTCTTCGAGACGTCTCAAAGTGTGTCACAGAATTCAATGTAAAGTGAATTGACCGTATACTTTGCAGGCGAAATGCAGCAGTCAATCGCACGCAGCAGTGTCCCACAAACAGTCATGGACTGAGTGACCAATTTATTATTATATTATTTTGAAAGGATTATTACCCCCGGAAAAGCGATCCGCTAACCGACTAACAACAACAACTGGATGAAGGCCACTGAGTCACCGAGTCTAAACTGGTCCTCCCTCCTCCATAAGAGCCTTAATACTCCTACAATCTCTCAAACCCTTTTATACTATTCCTCTACAAACGCTTCTCAGGTTCTCTTTTAAATATTGTTATGGTCTTAGCTTCAATGGTCAATTGCAGCGAAACATTCCATGTTCTAATAACGATTTCACAAATACTAATTGGGGATAGAGCACCTGTCCTTTAAAGTTTATACACTGAACGCTATTATCTCTGAAAGAAAGGAATTTCAGCTCTAGTTCCAAAAATCGGATTCCCAACTATCTGAATTGATTTTAGTGCACTGCATTTCAAACACTCCTTTGAATCTTCACTGAATTCAATACACAAACTGCCAATAAAAATAAGCCTCCTCTCTGGTCTAGTTCGCGAATAAACTGGAATTTACTTTTTCACAGCTGCTCTGCTCCACTCTAGGGTCACATTCACCATGCGCCAGATTGTGAGCAAGATATCAAACCCTTTTATCTAAAATGTACTGTGAAGTCCCATTGAGAACATCGCAACATTTATTGTGAATCTGTTGTTAATCATCTTTACCAACACTAAACATGCCATACATACAACAAGCTCTAACTAATTATTACTCTAATAACAGAAACGTGAATGAGTTCATATGTAGGATAGTCAGTGCTTGGTGGTGAACAGTTGCAAGAAAACCTACACAATTGTTCTTAAAATTAGTTTAAATTTGTTCACAGCACTCATGTTAAAATCTGCGTTAGTCTGTTACACAAGTGGTAGAACACTTGCTTCCTGACCAGATGGTGGCAGGTTTGAGATATTGAGCTGCTGGTTGCTTGGATTTGTCTACTTTAGTTAAGATTTCTATTCAAATGGTTTCTAGACTGCTATGGGAAACTTTTAAAAAAATTAAGAAACCTCAGCAAAGGACAAAGGGCCACAATACAGGGCTGAAAAGAGCAGGGGAGAAAATAAATTACTTATTGTAGTGCTTGACTCTAAACTGATTCAGGACTCCATAACTATTCCAAAGTCTGCCAAATCTCTATCATTCGTGTTGACTGCAGTGGAGAGGAACCAATGTCTTTTTGGAACCATTTTCCCAAGGTCATCCGTGCAGCCAGACTCCAGTCTGAATCGTTTTACAATCAAAATTGTACTCCGATTTTCATGAGGCTAATGCTATGGTTTAAAACTGAAAAACAATCTGCTCCCAGACTGATGACCATATATGTCAAAATATATCTATAAAGGATGAGTAATTGTGGTGAAGAAAGATCAAAATCACTCTATTGCAGGTTTCAGTAATTTTATTCTGCGAAAAGCTTCGAGGAAGCAACATCCATCAAATAAATGCTGGAGATTGCTACAATTTGTACTAGATTGTATTATTTTTTTTCCCCAAAGAGCTCTGCCAGGAATTTCACTTACCTCGGTGAAACAATGTTTAAGTATAACAATAAGACATGCATTTGATATAGTGCCTTATCATGTCATCGAGATGTCTCAAAGCGCTTCACAGAATATACTGTAAAGTGAATTGACTGTATATTTTGTGGGCGAAACACGGCAGCCAATTGTGCACAGCTGTGTCCCACAAACAGTCGTGGACTGAGTGACCAAATTACTTATTTTTTTTGGAGAGATTATCCCGGTAAAAAATTCCACCAATCGTTAACAAGCAGGTTCCTACATACTGCTAGGTAAACAGGAGTGTGGAGTAAGGAAACCTGCCCAACGTTTCGCCCTGCCCGGGAATCGAACCCAGGTCCTCTCGCTTGCATGTTGAGTGCTCTAACCAATAAGCTACAGGCCTCCACAAAAAGGGACTTAACAGTGTTAAAAAATACGTTAAATTGGCTACCCATTGTTATTTAGTGTGGCAACCAAGGAGTTGGTCTTGGTAGTTCTCTGCATCAGGGCATTTCCAGTAATCAGGACATGAGAGACTGAAATGAGAACTGCAGTGTGTCTGAAAGAAATTGCAAAGCGTCACGAAAAGCCACTGGAACCCTCAAGCAAAAAACATTTTAACTAAGAAAAACTTTCCCCTCAAAATCCTCAACGACAAACTCCTTACACAGCTACCCAACAGCAGCGTTGGGTAGATGTGCAAATACTGATCGAGTGGTTGAAAGCTTCTCAGAGTTGATGCAAGGTGTTGGCTTGGTAGCCACATTAATTATTCCATCAAGATGTAACCAGAGAGTACTGAGCACCAGGACACGCTGCAATATAACTGTTGCCACTGGCAGAAAAACAACCTGAGTTTCTTTATCAGGACATTTCCAGTAATCAAGGCCATGAGAAACTGAAATGAGAACTGCAGTGGGTCCGAAAGAAATTGCAAAGCATCAGGAAAAGCCACGGAAACCCTCAAGCAAATTTTTTTTAATTAAGAGAAACTTTCCCCCCAAAATCCTCAATGACAAACTCCTTGCACATCGACCCAACCACAGTGGTCATCCACCCTAGAAAATGTTTTTATTTTTGCAGTTGTTGGTATGCTAGTTGTCACTGGAAATATACATTGATCACTTCTGGTCTATTCTTTACAGCAGCTGGTGTGGAATGTCCACAGGATATTGCTTGTTATGGAGTATTTCCTCTGGCAGCCCCATCGGGAAGAAATATCCTGCATCCTTTTTGGGGTGTGACAAAGGTTTTATTCAAGTATCTTAAACGCAGCAATTCAAATAAATGCTGAAGTCACAGACTTGAAGCACTGCATCTTCCCTGTGGACCGCAGTAAGCAGGCGAAATGGGATCAATAAAATGTTGCTTCCAGCAATTGCTCGTAAATCAAAGAACCAACCTCAACCTCTCGGTCTATTTTCCCTTTTAATTTACAATGTTCCCATGTTCTATGGTGATGAGTGATCCCAAACAAACAAGAGACACCCCAAACATTTGAACATTGAAGGAAATCTAGTTTCCATTTATCCAGGAATCCTGATTGGAATATCATAACAATCCATTGCGTTGTGGCAATTCGGAATGGCAGAATTCTGATAGAGTGGTTGAAAGCTTCTCAGGGTTGATGGATTGGAGTTCAAAGATGTATTAGATACTTAAAACAGCCATTTAGCTTCTTTGCAAAGGCCATCAGTAATTTCAGTGTGATAATGATTAACCAAAGACTGATTAAATATATGTCAGCGACTCAATGATATATAGTAGTTGTATGAATGGACACAATTGAATAACAAAGTCCATCTATTATAACACTGGGTTCATATTACAAAACATCACATCCAATTGCCACAGCAATGTACAATAAATTACACAAGGACTTTAAAAGTATGATGCCTCTCTTTCGAGTGGCAGGTGACAGCTGCTTGTGGGATGTTATTTGTGTGAATCAGTTACCATTTTCCTTTGTTTCCTGCACAACACATGCATTTAATTTCTGATCAATGTCATTTGTGAATTACAATGAGAAGTATCTTTTATGTGAAAAGTATTAAAGAAGCATGGGTTATTGCCAACAAGCCCAGGAAGGGTGAAGCCAAAGAATTGCTGGTCTGATGAGCAACCAGCAATATTGGTGAACATATCCTAAAACCAAAATAAGGATGTCCCAAAGCACTTCACGTGATAATAATTCTTGCATTTGATATAGCTCCTTATGTCTTCGAAACGGGTATACTGTAAAGTGCAGTGACTATTGTGTTTTGTGGGTGAACATCAGGAAAAAAGATCTGTCTTGAAGATTGTTATTGACAGTTTCTGACAGCTGCAATCTGAAGAGTATTCTTCCCCTTTGGATGCCAAAGGATCAAACAAAATGCATGCCCACAAGGTAAACCTGGCCCTGCTTCACAATCAGGAATTAAAGAAGGTTAAAGGTAGGAAGAGATGCACATTGTATAAGGATACAAATGGCTTTCCCTTTAGACTGTCAGGAAATGGATTTATGTCTTTGTCGTTTCACCAACAAAATATACAACCAATTCACTTTACAGTATATTTTGTGAAGTGCTTTGAGATGTCTCGAAGACGTGATAAGGCGCTATATCAAATGCAAGGATTATTATTATTATTATTACACTGGAAGGTAACCAAGATTTTTAATATAACATAGCCCGAATGGACAAATGTGCCTCTGGTTCTCAGCACATGGACATTTTAAAAGGACATGTCGCTCTAAATTAGGGCACTCAGCAAATTAACCTGAACTGGTTTTGTTTTGATCTGTGATTGAGTTTTGCCATTTGGCCTGTGAAACAATGTGGCAAGAGGGCTTGTTTTTTCCTGAATCTTTGCTTTGACTATATCACTAATGGTAGCTTCTGTAGGTTCACAAGTCGCTCAGTAGCAATAACTTGAGCAATTAACGCTGCCCTGCAAACAGGAAATCTAATCCAGAATCCAGGCATGAAATCTGCATTTAAACTTAGTGGCAGTCACCAGTCAGCTGGACATAATAAAATGAATATGAAGACTATTTTATTTGTGTTTAAACAATTGACCAAGAATAACAACAACAAATTACATTTGTATAGCGCCTTTCACATCGGGAGGCATGCCAAGGTGCAGGACCTTCAAGGATTTGGGATCAGGAGGGGTGGAGGGCAGAGAGGGTGGGGGTAGGAGGGTGACCGAAGGAGCGGTCGAAGAGGACGGGCCTTGAAGGAAGCAAAGGAAGGGGTGAGGTGTTCTCCCTATTATTTGCTAAATGGATTTTAAGCACCCTGAATGTTAAGTAATGTAGAGAAATTTGCTTTTGAAAGTACCTGTCGGTTTTTACATTATCCATTTTTGGTAGCTCTGATTTCTTTATCAATGTTTCACTAACAAGCACACCCACTGTTAGCAACTATGAAACCCATATCAGTAGCAGAGAATATAGATTTCCATAGACCATTCTGGTTTGCAGCTATCCTGGAACCAACAAGGAAACCACTCACTCAGTGTTATCGTATTTGGGATTATAATGAGACGGGTTTCACTTTAACCCCTTGCCCTCAGCCGTCTCCACTGTGCAGTCAATCACCCCAAGCTAATTGCCTTTCCTTTTCTATACAACAAAAACTCGACAGAATGGATTCATTGCTTTTGAAGCCTTCTTTAAAAAGCATCCAGCGATTGCTAAGCAACAGCTTGACATTGTGTGTTAATGTCTAATAAAAATAGAATGCCTGCATCAAGTTATTCTGTCTGTAATAGCCGTGCAAGTTGCGATACAATAGTTGTAGAATGTATACCAAGCTTTCAGTGCATATAATTCTGCTTTCAAAGTGCAATATACAACAATGAACTTACGTAGTAGCACCTTTCATGTAAACACTGTCATGAAGCGCGTTAAATGGATTGTGTGGGACAAAGAACAAGGTGGAAAGAAAGAATGGGGTGGAGGGGGGAAACTGACAGAATAAGTAGGTTTTTATAAAGGTTTTTAAAGCCCTGTTGTGAGTGGGGGCAGAGGGATTTAGGGAGGGAGCTCCAGAGACCAGAGGTAAAGTGGCTGAAACCAATTCCCTTGTTATACGCTTCTGTGATTCATGTGACAATATTGTGCAGTGAGATCATCACATTGGCCTCTCACTCATAATGTGATTTTAGCTGTACTTTTAACAGTCATTAGTATGGTTTCATTTTATTGAGACCATAGTATAGATTACAAAAATTATACGTGACAGATGGAGCATCAAGGGTGTAATGTAATCTTGCGCTTCGCTCTCCTGGCTCACAGTGTCATTTGAATCATCAGAGCAGCAGGCTATAACTATAACTCACTCACCATCTATAATTCTACAGGTAATCAGTTTAGGAGCTGCTACCATAGGCATAGCTTTATACTGTTTACGAGTGCTTCTCTCAGCACTAACAATGTTCACAATTATTGGAACTATTGTGATTTCACTACTGAATTAGGTTTTAAACTTGTGAATGAAAAAATGTTGAAATGTGTAATTAGAAACACTCGTACACACATTCCTGGAAGTCTTTGGAGTTTGAATTTCAGTCGAGATTCCGATTTGGGATTCTCCAGAGAGCCATTAGGCCAAATCTCAGCAAGGTTGGGGAGCACAAAGGCGAAAGCTTCCTGCACTACTCAGGAAGACCTAATGCAGGAACTCCCTCAGCAAGGCATTGATGGCATTGAAGACGACATCTCCAGACTGGAGTGTCCGGGTCTCCTAAATAGATTGGATTGGGTTAGATGAAGAACATCTTGCAAATATACAATCAATTCACTTTACAGTATATTCTGTGAAGCTCTTTGAGACGTCTAGAAGACATGATATGGCGCTATATCAAATGCATGGTAGTGTCTCAGAGAGCTTAACATTAATAAATCTGGTGAAAAAAATAAAATAACACTGGTCGCAAATTAATACAAAGGTAGAACTTGAATTTGCTAATTTGGTTAAAATATATTCTTTTATCAATTTGTCAGTTATTGTTTCTATATCTTCTAAAAAAAGTGACTGTACTAGTAAATACCTAGTTGCTGAAACCCAGATACTCAGAGACACTATTCAAAATGCATTTACCATAGACTTGCTCTGCTGACGATTAAAACAGATGGAAATTGTTCCCTTGCCAACTGCAACAGCTTGGGAACATGACATCAGCAGCATCGCTACAATCACATTTATTTCCATACAACAAGAATCACTGCAACTGTCCAAGCATGGTTGATAGACTATTAGCACAATTTGTTACTGAAATTGAAGTACGTTTGACATCTAGGCAGATCCAGCACTCAGCAGTTACAAAGAGACATCTGGAAGTGCAGTGATGTTGTAATCTGCATATGAACCATGCTTTTTGCATGATTTNAAAAAAAGCCTCTCAACAAATCTGTGCTTTTCCCCATTAGCTAGGTGTGCACTCAATACCAGTGTTGCTAACTCAAATATTTTTTATTACTTTGACACCTACACAGTAATTTCTGATTTGATCCTTTTTTGCCATGGCAAAAAAGTGACAGTACTCCAGTTATCAGAACAATGGTTCATCATGATGCATAACATCTAAAGGGAGAAGTAATTGATAGCCATCCCCTTGTGAACAATAAAACCCTTTCTCCTCTTGTTATACCTGGTAACAAAAGCTAAGGATCTCAACATATTGGTCAGCTGAGTGACCCAGAAAAGATGATCCAGGAAAGGTACTCTCAATGCTCACTTAAATAAATCAGCATTTTATAATAATAATCCTTGCATTTGATATAGTGCCTTATCATGGCTTCGAGACGTCTCAAAGTGCTTCAAATATACACTGAGCACCTCAAGCCTTGTGCATAATTCCAAATAACTTCTAGTTAAATCAGGATAAAATGAAGAATTACTCCCAACAGAGTTATCTCTCATGAAGAACTGTAACTGGTCCTCTCTTTTTAAAAAAAAACTATGATGGACAATGCATTGCTCTGTTAGAGGCTGACATTCAATCAGCTATATGCTAAGCACTGTTGAACTAAGTGACTTCATAGCTAAGTACTATATGAGGTCACACAATCTGCAGGAAGTGTAAGTACAGTCATAAAGAGATTAAATTGTAAGATCATGCACCCACATACATTACAATAATGGGATCCCTTTGAAGGAAGTTTACCAGAGCTCTAATTGTTGTTAGAAATCAAATTTTACTAGCATTGCTTCATAGTGGAAAAATGCCACAAAAAAAAGCTAAAACATTTAAACTGGATTTAATTCTATTCATTTCCATTCTTAATTCTATGTTGAAAAATGGATAAACTCATAATAATTTAAAACAATAATTTAATCGGAGGCCAGATTGCCAGATGTTAAACATACAAAAGGCACTGCTAACAGAGTCTGTGAGTCTATAAAGCTTATATAGCTCATTTTTTAACTCTTCTATAAAGATGGCTCCTATGAAGACAAGTGCGTATATACGATAGAACAAAAATAATTATCCTTTCCAGAAACAAAATTGAAAGGAAAAAGATGGAGCAGGATTGCAGCTTGTTTCAAGAGAAGACATAACAGTGCACAATGCAGGTGCAGCAACACATTAATTATGTGTGGATGTGTGGAATATGTTAATAAAATCAGTGAGGCCTCTTCAATGGGTTTGAATTGAGTATTACACTGCCTGTTTGGAGAAGGCCTTTCATGGTTGCAGCTGAATTCTATTCTGGAGTTACCGTCTTTCAATGAGCTGCATTGTCCACTTTGTTTTCGTCACCGCAATGAAGAGGTGCACCTCCTGCCTCAAACCACGCCAGCCCTGGTGCACGTTCAAAACAATCTCCGGTGCAAGAGCATTACATTAGCTTTTACATTCTAGAGTCTGCAAACTTAGTACTATTTAAGGAGTATTTAAATTCAGCAATTTGAAATATTTTGGATAAATAATAATGATGATGCAAAAAAAAAAAACACACCCTAAAATACATTTGATTTAGATAACTGCCCATTTTCTTGGCTGGGGATGGAACAACTGAAGTGCTTTAATTTTTTTTATGTTTATCAAATAAAGTTAGATTAAATCAGATAGTGTGTTGACAGCATGGAAAATGAAGCCAGAATTATTAGGTGTTTTTTTTAATTTACCTCTGGTGCCTCTGCGCTTGGTTTCAAGCAAATGGGATTACCCTCCAACGTAATTGTGTTCAGTTGGCTGCATAGAGCCAGGTAATGGATCTGCATGATGTCATCAATATTGTTTCCTTCCAAATCCAGCACTTCCAAGTGGTCCAGCATGCTCACATGGCTGATGTCTGTAATGTTGTTATACGCCAAGTACAATTCCTACAAAACATGGGAACAAATGACAATCAGGGAACAAAACACTTAATACGATAGTATTCTTTAAAAGAACAAAAGAAAAGAAAAATAAGCACGCCTATGGCATGTTCAAGTGTCCAACTTGTAATCCCCAGCATCACAATACATTGCTAATGCACTGACCAAATTACCCTGCCCAACTATGGTATTTCTCTGTGACACTGCAACAAAAATATAAGAAGTTTCCAACTAGACTGATTTAACACTAGACGAACATTTAACAATGGTTAGTTAATTCCACTGATGGAGTAGCACATGTTTGTTTATTCAACTTTTAAACCCGTCAATCATGAACTCAGAATTTCATAAGCTACTGATGCTATTGGATAATTGCAAATAGTGACCTTCAAAGAGGAGAATGAAGGAATCCCGTCCAGGTCTGGAAGTCCACATTGAGCCATCCAGAGCACCTGAAGTTTAGTTAACGATGTTCCAATGTCTCTAAACATTTATTGAAGAAACAAAGAATTAATTAGTTGACTGAAATAATCCTTGCATTTGATATTTGCCTTTCATATTGGGAGGACGTCTCAAAGCACATCACAGGATTGACTGTAAAGTACAGTAACTGTATTTTGAGGGAAAACATGGCTGCCAATTTTGCGCAGGGTCCCACAAATGGCTCTTCAAGTGAGACAATGTCAAATCAGTTTTGAACCCAGAGAACAAGGAAGTTTAACATTGTCGACGAGATTTGGGGGTCATCAGAAATAGAGATAAGACATGTTGAAAGAACTTTGTGGGAAACTGGACAGGTAGTCTCTTCTTGTCTGAAAATGTTACTGTGCTACAATTGTATAGTTTGTTTTTGAGGCGAAATATTCCAACTTCTGAGTGTCTGGAAAATCTAGTTCCTAGAATAGATTTCCCTAGTGTCAAACTCTCTGAGACTGGCTTTATTTCAGAGAAGCTTGCTGCACTGTTTTACTCATGAACATCCAACACAACTGTCAATCTACCATTTCTTAAATAAAGTACAGTATAAAAATCCTAGATGACAAGAGATGTTCAGATAAAGAAGACTCTTCAGGCCTTTTGATTGAATGGAAGAGCAATTCAGGTAAGTTTAACGGGAACAGTTGTTTGAACTAGGATGGGTGTCACGAAAATGTAATTATGGTTGAAAATTAAGATGAATAAGAGTAGGTTTCTCCTGGTTATTAACAACAGTATTTAACTAATTCTAACATTCCAGCAAGAAAAAAAGAATAAAGGGAGTTCCAAGCCCCAAATATTTTCTTAAAATAAAAAACATGTAATGTTGTCTGTAATTGCAATTGGAAAATATTTTATATTTTGCTATAAATTATACCTGCAAAAGCATGGCTTCCACATAGATTATCTCAATGCTCCTGGGAGATTTCTAATAAGGATTTGAAAAAGCAAACATAAAAGGGGTTGCTTCAAAAGTGCACATCATCTACTTGTGGAAAGGTCTTGTGTAATAAAACCACATGAAAGGGTGCTGCAATCTGCAGGAACCTGCTGACTTCAATTAATTATGCATGACATTACATGAACATGAACAATAACAACAACTTGCACTTATATAGTGTCCTCCACTCAGGGTAGCAACTCAGGGCCTTAACAGTAGCGGAGCCTGACTCCGAGCCGGGGGGTGACCGTAAGCACGGTCGAAAAGGGTTTTCAGGCGGGATTTGAAAAAGGGAAGAGGGGGTAAGATGGAGGGATTGAGGCAGAGTGTTCCAGAGCTTCGGGGCGTAGTGGCTGAAAACACGACCCTCAATGGCAGAGCAGATTGTGCAAGGGACAAGCTAGAGGCCGGTGCCAGTCGAGCGGAGGCGCCGGGTGGTGGATTGGGGAGTGAGGAGGTCGGAGAGGTCGGGAGGTGCCAGGGAGTGAATGGATTTAAACACGAGAGTGAGGATCTTGAAGTCGATCCGTTCGGTGATGGGGAGCCAGTGGAGCCTGGGCCAGAACTGGTGAGACGGGTGTACGGAGTCAAGTCTGGGTAAGTCTGCGGGTAGCAGAGTTCTGAATGAGCTGAATCTTTTTCAATAGTGGAGCAGGTTTAAGTCCCAAGAGCTATATCTCACTCAGTCTGGTTTACCCCAGTCAAGCACGGTTTGCAGATTCTCAGCAATTCCCCACTAGGTGGAGCAATGCTGTATTTGATTGTAAGGAAGTTCCATCTCCACTACAGGGGCGGGGAGCTGGAAGCAAATGGATATGACACAACTCCCCACTTGAACGTAAACAAAGCCCAGATTATTCCCCCTCCCAGCTGCAGAACGTACACTGGCCACTTTCTGCCAAGTCTGAAACCGGACAGGGGTGCGTACTCCAGGACCAGGGGGTGGGATTATGGCTTGGGAATTGAGATCTGCTTTCCTAATGATTAACCCTGGCCAAAAACTCCCTTGATGGCCTCATGCATTGAGGCAGTACCCAGTGCACACCAGACTATACTAGGGAATTATCCATTCTGTGCTGAGTTAGCTATTTAGCAAGTAAGGAGGCACTAAGGGTGCTAGAAAATAGCCTCAATGCCTTAAATTAACAAACATGTGTGTATGTGTGCCTGTGAGTGTGTGGGAGGAGTGGGGTGAGCCCTTGCTCAAAGGTGTTGTCATTGTGTGCGCGGACGTATATGCGTGTGGATGTTAGGATTCAGCTATGATGAAGTGTACCAACACGCACTAACATTGTTCACACATAGTAATGGCTATTTGAGCAATGGTACCTGTGGAACCACACCTGAGTGGAAGAGAAAAAAAATTGGAAGAGAAAACCTTGAAAGAATAAAAAAATTCACATCATATGACACAGAAATACTTGAAGAGATTTATTTTTAACAGACTATTGTGTCAGTATGGTAGAACCCCACCCTGCCCAGCATCAAACAGAGCAGAAAAATATCTAGCGATGCTTGAATGGTTTGTCAAGAAGTATAATTTAAGAAACAACAATTTTTCTTTGACCCCTTCTCTCTTTGAAACCACAATTATACAAACTGGATAAAGCATTGTTCCATTCATAATTACTCAACTGATGGTTCAAAAGTCCAAGGAAGCCAGTTGGAAAGAATTTCTACAAAATTAATTAGTCAAACCAAAGAAAAACGGTTTTAGCAGAAATTATTTAGTCACCAGATGGATAACTTCTAGACATCAAGGTCTTCCCGTTCAGGCAACTGGGCCTCAGAGAGGTAACAGTCTGGGCCACATGTGAAGCAAAGCGTTTCAAATGTGACACAGAACTACTGTAGACAAAGAGCAGATTGAGGCAACAATGTACAAGTCACAATGATTAAATCTTTTCGTATTATTCCTTCCCTCCCCCGAATACTATGCTATATCATTTGAATTGATCACAATGAATCATCCGAGAAGTGGCATGACAGTATTGATGGCGAAATCTGCAACTCTGGCATCTGAGCACAGTACAGATATCATATCAGGCACTGGGAAAATTCCATTCTATATAGATCAGCTTTTATTTATGAGTTTCAGCCCAAAAAAATCTTTGTTGGTTGGTTGGAGAACTATTGTTGCACTGATTATAGGGCTAGTAACGACTAAGCTTCAAAATAAATGTACCAAATATATAGCATATGTAGCCTGTACACAATAAAAGGACACTCCTTAGGCTGAAGATTATAACTACCCTGATAGTGTTGTATCTCTAATTTACATAGAATGCAATTGGAATGGCAACGTGTGAGTTAGGCAAATGTAAAGATGGAATGCATATGCTGTGTTTTACGTTAATAGGAATATCAAGCCAAATAAACTGGCAGAAAAAACAGTAGAGTAAAACCTTCAGCAATCAGGATAAAAGTGCCCTGTGGCTTAGTTCAGATGGCACAATGGAGGAGGAAGGCTAAGGTAAATACAGCTTAATTTTAATTTTGCACAAAGTAGATACCTACCTTACAGATACAATAAAGCTGTTGTTCAGTTTTAGCTCAATCAAATTTGGCAAATAAATACCTATAAGTGAAAAAGATTTTCACATTTACTCATTTGGTTGTTATAAACAATGAGGAAAGTATCTTCAGAAACAATCACAAGCTTAAAATGGCAGAGACCCATGGCATTCTTTGAATGCCAGCAAAACTTGGTCACGACTTAATACACTAAACTACTTCTAATATCTTCTGAAGTTCATTAAATCAGTCACAGTTTCATATGTGCAAGCCACAGAATAGTAACACAAACAATGCATTCAAAAGAGCTTGGGATCAATTTCCTTATGAATGCTGATCTCATAACTCAATACTCCAAACTATGCAATTGCTGGCAAGTTTTCACACGCTACTTGTCAAGGTATTGCAGAGTAAAATGCAGTTCAAACAAAAAGACATAAAGGACTTATTTCTGCACAAAACTGCCCTCAAGTTACATCTTTGCTGAAACCACATATCCTCCCCAAAAATCCCTAAAAAGATCAGAAATAATGTTAAAGTTACTGCCACTTCAATCACAATAGCTGCAGGGACCAAACAGAATGGATCTCTGCTTTAATTATCGGGAAATTAACAAGGTATTACTTTAATAAAAAACTTTAGTATCATTATTCTCTTGGTGAACTTGCCTCCACTTGTAACTATTTTGCCCCAACCATTTTAGGTATGTTATGACTGTACTTATTAAAATCAAGCAAGCCTTATTTTAATCTTAGATTTCCCCTTGATTTTACAATCCATCTCCCATTCAGAAATCAAAACCATTTTGGACAGACTTCTGGTCACCCATGAGTTCCAAGAGCTGAGCCAGGAATTGGTGGGAATAAATTATAAATTTCTTCTCAATATCATTCGGTTATTGCTTTTGCATTTAGATGTACAATATAGAAAGCTGCTTTTGCTACAATTTAATGGACAGTAATTCTTTTTTTTGCGCTCAGGCATTTCAATGTGATAATGAGCTGATTTAAATGTAATTGAAGAGGGATTTATATTGCTATTTAGAGAATTCAATTGAGGTGTAAAGGATAGACCAGTATAGTTTTTAACTAAAAAAAACTTTACAGCAATAATCTCTTCCAGCCCTGTACATTCTTTTGGTTCCTGCCAGCTCTCTGGTGCCTCACTCAAATGTCCATTTTTCAGCTTAGACAATATGTTGGCCAGTTATTCAGATGTGAGGCTGTCACAGCTGAGCCACACCCAACACCCATACAGAAAAGCAGATTTGAAAGCCCCAGCTGTTCACCTCCTGAACAATGGCGATGCTGTGGCCAATTTGAATACTTCACCATTGCCCTGGCTGTGACCTGCTAACTCTATACAGGGCAGGCACCAAACCTAAACTGTTTAATGCGACGACTACAACAACAACTTATATTTATCTAGCTCCTTTCACGTTGGGAGGACGTTCCAAGGCGCTGCACAGTGAAGGGTTTGCACCTTAGCTGGGAGTTGGAGCCACGAGGGGTGGAGGGTAAGGATTGAACAAGACATCATGGTTCCATACGGCTCAGTGGGATGGACAACGTATCCATGGACATGTTGACAATGCCTGAGGTGAGGAGGAGGGCTTCGGTCTTGTCGACATTCAACTGGAGTTGCAAGTAGCATACTTGAGATTACAGATATATCCTCCACAATTAGGATTCAATATTCTAAGCATATAAATGAACCCTCATGATAAATATACATATAGATTAAGATTGCCAATTAATTTGGAGCTGTATTAAGATACTTTGTTTTCCCTAATTTGGAGATTTGGACAATCTTGGTAGGGCCAACATTTACTGCCCATCGTCTGTTGTTCAGAGGTAATGGTGGACTCTCTCTCAGCCTTTGAACACTTTTCTGACCTTTTTTTTGCCTTCCCCTAACCTCATTTTAAATTAATAAAATTATGCTTTCAAAACATCAGCTTCACTGGATATTCAAATATGTATTACTTTACTGCAGTGATATACGATTTTTTAAAAAAGCCACAGCATTGGGAGGTGTAAAGAAAGGTGACCGATTTCTGACCTTATGGGTTTTACATAAGCCAACTTTAAGCAACTGTCAAAATGATAAACAGATCGAGTTTGAAAATGGCAGCACTGTACTACCTCAGATGAACACAAGCTATAAAAAAAGAGTTTTTTTAGCCTGCAATGTTTAGGAAGACCAAATATTTATAATTATTAAACCGTTTTGGCATCGTTAAATATACCCTTCAATGCCAAAAATATATATAATTTGCATTCAGCACATGTTAATATTACATTGAAAACTAATACGTAACCCTACAATTTTCTTTGTAGCTTTTGAATTACATAGATTTTCTTTTTCAAAGTGACTGTCCAATGTCCAATTGCAAAAGAAACTTTGAGAATGGTCCTTCTGTAGTATTTTTGGAAAACACTTGCAAAAATTATTTCTCTCCCTGTCCCTTGCCCCAGTTTGCTGCAACTTACACACCAGATCCCAGCCTCCCCAATAATAATTCTTGCATTTGATATAACAGTGCCTTATCACATTGTTGAGCAATCCGCAGAATATACTGTGACTATATATTGCGTGGGCGAAAAGCATACCTACGTAGCTGAGATGATGGCTTCCAGACAAGGCTCACTGCTGTCAGCCCATGTCCTTCCACTACTTCTCACAGTATCTGTACTCTGAATCTCAAATGCTGAAAGCTGTGTGCTACCTTTCTCCTTCCTTCAAAAAACTCTCCTTTTTTTAACCTGTGACCTGTACTGTGACCTTGTGCCAATGTATCATTAAAGATATATCAAAAGGAACAAATAAGAACATAAAAATGTAAAGAACCAGAGAAATGGGCCTTGAACCCACAACCTTCTGACTCAGAGGTGAAAGTAAAACCAATTAAGCAGTTAAAATAGACCAATGAGCAAAAAGATTATATAAATTGAAATGTTCTACTGATAAAGCGTAACATGAAATAGATTTAAATAGCACCATATGATGAAGAGGTTTCTCACCAAAGTTTCCCAGGCTGCTATCCTGTGTATCCACACGCATCTCCAGAACCTTCACCTCTTGGAGATCATCTGTCTCTGTCAGTGCTTGCTGTGAAGAGAAAGATTGATAATGCCAAGTTGCCAGATGGAACACAATGCAGCAATGGCGCTGTCCAAAAAAACATTATTTGCAAACTAAATCCCCAATTAACCTAGTTACCGGAGGACAAAATTGTTAGGCATTATAAGCACAAAATAAGCACCCCAAATCATCACATGTAATTTGAATTCATCTGCAAATTATGCTTTGTCAACACAAAAATGTTAATTCAATCAAATCCAATTACATTTGCCTTAGTGAGTTACACGTGGATGAAAATTTGAGCTAATATTCCAATCTGTAAACTAAGGTTAGGAATCTTGAAAATAAATATAAACAAGAAATGTAGGAAAATGCACAGCAAGTCTAAAAGCATCTCCAAGGGCGGGACAGGTCAATGTTGTTGATGCCTCTCAACAGAATGGTGGAAGTAGGTCTAGTTAAGGACCCACTGGCATTTCCAATTTTTATTTCATCCTTCCAGAATTTTGTTTCATCTTCATTAATTACATTTTCTAGTACAATTGTCTGTAGGTGTTGTAGTGTGCACACACAACTGATGTCACTTGACTTTATAGGGTAACAAAACCTTATTGCGACAAGATCAGATAGCACTGAGGAATCCACTTTGAAATGTCATATGTTGAGATCCCATTAATCCTGGTAATTTGTCAAATCAAAGTCTATGAAACTGGACGATAACATTAGTGCCCAGATTTCATTTCAGTTAGAACAATCATTAAGAGAACTGTTTGTACGGGTGATCAAAAAGTTGTGATAGCTACCCTGTTATCTTAAAAAAACATAATTTCTTTAAGACTTATTAGACATTGTAATGGTATTATGACTTTTTGGTCACCCTGTATATGCATTAATGGTTTTGATTTTAACACCCTAAAGGTGACATGTGACCAAACTAAATAAAAATTAATTTATTTTAACGGAATGGTCACTTGTAGTATTTTCAGGTTTACTCCTTGTTCTCCACCGGCTTGATCAATCTTGAGTTGGGCTGCAGTGAATTGTTAGGCTAGACCCTTTTGGGTAAGAGTGGGAAAAAATTTACCTGGATTTCCAATTCCTGATCACTGGTTATGACTCCTCTGTTTTTAGTGCACTTATGAAGAAAAGATCAGCTCACTCTACAATTAAATAGCTCACTTATGTTCACCATTCTGGCACAGACTTGAGGAAAGAGTATGTGAAAGTCCAACACATTTCATAGAAACAGAACTTGTGTAAAATTTAGAATACAATTTACATTTATATAGTGCCTTTCACATAAGCAGGACATCTTTTAAATTTACTTCAAAAGAAGGATAGCACATTTAATTAAAAAGTCTAATTTCAAACTGAACATATTCTCTGTGGAAGATTTGAAATGATCAATGGAACAGCAATGATATTATTCTATAAAAACAGAAGGTTGAACCTATTCTGTGCCTTCCTTACAACCGCTCTACTCCTTTGGGAATTTAATGGTCTCACACTGTAAATGTCTAGCTACAAATATGTTGACATTTGTGAATTGAAGCAAATTAATGCCAACTTGCTTTGCTCCACTTCATACTATTTGGATACAAGCTCCCAGTCCAGAATGACATAACATATAGGAGCAGGAGTAGGCCATTCGGCCCTTCGAGCCTGCCCCGCCATTCAATCATGGCTGATCTTCTAATCTAACTCCAGCTAATAACCTGACCCTGCCTTATCCCCATATCCCTTAATCCCTTTTGCAATAAGAAATCTATCTATCTCAGTCTTGAATATGTTCAAGGACTGACCTGCTGTAGATATACAGGAAAGACATTGTGCCTCACTGACTAGCTGCCCAGAATATGCTGGTCACAAGGACCTGTTGGGAATTTTGTAACAGAAAGTATGGATTCACTCCATCACTCAGTTTGCATTCAAGTTGCTATCAAATCACATGAATTTAATGCGTTTTGATTTGCAACGAAATGCAGATTATGGCCAGTGGTCATCAAACACAGCTTTACTCTTGAGTGCTTTGGATATATCCCAGTGCAGAAACGTTTTCATACAAGTTTATGTTCTGCAGAAGTGAACATGATTTTAAAGAAAATAATTAGGGCCAGTGTTCTCATCTATTCTTATTACCAGAACTTGGCAGTGAGAGGAAAGGCCAAAATTATATTATTATTAATAAAATAAAACACACTCCAGCTGCTCGCCTGCTTCGCTATGCCTTGCTCAAACTGCACAGCATCAATCAGGCTTCAGTATGATCAAAACACAAATCGCCCTGGAACCCTGCTGCTGGATAATAATAATAATGGGTGCTTTTGATATAGCGTCTTATCATGTATTCAAGACGTCTCAAAGCGCTTCACAGAATATACTGTAAAGTGAATTGACTCTATATTTTGTGGGTGAAACATGGCAGCCAATTGCACACAGCAGTATGCCACAAACAGTCATGGATTGAGTGACCAATTTATTATTTTTTTAAGCATTTATTACTGCTGGAAAAGTGATCTGCCAATTGACTAACAACCAGGTTCCTACTTACTGCTGGGTAAACAGAGGCATATGGAGTAAGGAAACTTGCCCAACATTTTCCCCTGCCGAGAATCGAACCCAGGCCTCTCGCTTGCGAGGAAAATGTTCTAACCACTGAAAACAGGACTCTGAAGCCTTGAGACCACCTTGAGGTGGTGCTTTCAGTAACGCATCAATTGACAACGCTGCATTAATAAACAGCGGGTGTGAATCAATTGAGCTCCACTCCAAAATAGTCCCTTAGTTGTTCTTGCATGAAATAAGGGACCATTTAAAATATATATATATTTTGGAGCTGGTTGTAAATTCAGTTTTCTCAATAACATTATAATATAGCACTTGATATATTTCTATTCCAATGTTTAAAAACACTATACTACTGTCTCTCATACACTTGAATCAATTTCCTGGCCAAATAATTATCCAATCCCCTTTTGAATTTGTTGTCACAATCTGGCTCCACCACCTCCCTGGGCTGTCCATTCATCACTCTGTGTAAATCTGAACTCTGTTCATATCCACTTTTCTGAGTTCGAGTCTATGATCTCTTTCTGTGGACTTTGTGACCATGGTTAGGGTTAGTGTTACTGTAGACCTGTTCAGAACTCATTCCACTCTAAAATATCAATTTTAAGGTTATTTAATAACGATTTCAAACCTTCTTTTATGTAACATTTTTACAAAATGCTACTTAAGATTAACATATTGGGTTTTTCTGGCACTTACAGCTGTCTGTGGGCAGGACTACACAAACACCATTTCCGAAGGCTGAAAGTCCCTAAAGAACATTTTAAAACTGATTCTGCCTTGCCAAACTGAAGAATGTGCAGACTTGCAGTTTTTTATTATTACTAACGGTTGTGCATTGGTGTAAAGTGACAAATTGTTCTTTCGGTTGTGCAAGTAGGAAAAAAAACTACATCAAACAATGGAAGGATATCCTCAAATACCTACACAGAAATACTGACAAGTGTCAAAATGGTGCTTCTGCTCATGCGCCAAATAGAAAATTGAGATGCGTTTTAAGAAAAATGTTTCAGAGCAAAAGTGTGAGGTGAAAAGTTAAGTGGCCAATTTTCACTGAAAATAAAAGCAATTGGTTTCCTTTAAGTTTCTAGGTAGGAAAGGATTTTTAAAAAAACCTTTTCAGTCTTCCCAAATCAAACAACTAGCCCCAACTTGAAACGGCCACAAATTCCTCAAGGCTGAAACAGATCATTGGATAAGGTGCGAGATAGCATGGGAAAGTGGCTTTCTACTGTAGATCAGCATAAGGTTAACATATTTGCCACAGGTTGAGCAATTGCTCACAACAATTATTAGTTTGCATCACTGTTTCTCTTAGAAGATCTCCTTTTAAATGTTACAGATGAATAAATTGTGATAGTACTGACTGCATCAAAGAGAACTCAAATTTGTACTTGGTAAAAGATCTTCCTGCATCATCCCTTCACCAAGAATGTACTTGTACATGATTTGCACGCTATATTGTCTAACATGAGATGAGCAAGTCACATCTGACATCATACTGTGCCTTTCAGACAAATTACAATTCTAGACATCCCAATTGCAAACACTCCAAAAGACTGACAACGCATGCGTGTGTCTGTTGTGGGACAGGGAATAAATACATTGTTCCTGATCTAAAATTGTAGATTTTCTAACAAAGGAAATGTGCGGCTACTTTTATAAATAAATAGTCTCACCAATCTCGATGGAGAAAGGTATTCTTCAACAAGCATATCTTTTTCTTTTTCCTCTTTAACAACTGGACTGGGGTTTAGCAAAGCGGATTCCCCAAAATCCAACACCCTGACTGTGCCTGGGCGCATAATGTAGGCTGGGTCTTGATGAAGCTCCATTGGTACCCTGAAAACAGTGAACAATCATTGAAAATTTAGATTATAAAAACAGACTACCACTATAATTTTAGTACAGGTTCTCACGTCAATGGTCAACTTTTGCATTCCAAATAATAATAGTCCTTGCATTGATACAGCACCTTATCACATCTTCAAGACTCTCAAAGCGCTTCACAGAATATACTGTAAAGTGAAAATTTTGTGGACGAAACATAACAGCCAATTAATTGCACACAGCAGTGTCTCATAAACAGTGGTGAATTGAGTGACCAAATTATTATTATTATATTTTGAAGGGATTATTACGCCCAGAAAGCGATCCGCCAATCAACTAACTGACTAACAATCAACTAAATGACAAATGACAGGTGAGAGAAGTTACTTTGTAGCTGGAAGTGAAAAGCAAAAATAACTCACATTTGCAAATGACATGCCCATTTTTATCTTGATGGATAAAATTTCTAACATTTTATCATTACTTTTCTCTTATATCTTATTTTTTTCTGGCTTCTGGCAGCTTTCTGATCCCACAGAATAGTCCCAAAGTGAATTTCCTGGATTAAATTCTTCTGGGTTAAATTTAAATAACAACACAATTTTGCAATTAACCCTACTAACCAGGGTTGAGGAATTCAAAAATAATAACCTTTATGTTGAATATAGCACCTTCTCACATCGTCAAAACATTTCACAGGATTTGCTGTAAAGAGCAGTGTGCATATTTATAGGCGAACACCCACACATTTCAGTGAATATCCAGTACACTAGGTAAGATGGCAAACCATGCCAGATGACCTGGAAGCTTATAATGAGATACTCCACCCAGATGCCCATGTTATAATAGTGTTGTCCTGTATTGGAACTCTCAGAAGTTGGTCTGAACAAATTTTAGCCATGGTGATTGGCATCAAGATACCCAGCTGACAAAAAACAATTTGCTCCTGCATTCTGGAAAAGGAGCTAATGTAGTACATAATGTATTTTTATGAAGCCAATGCACTTATAGTCCTTCAAAACAACATGAATAATACAGATTTGTGTGCCAGCACAACTGAAGGACAGCAGATGATAACCGTAAATCTGAACCTGCTGAAGTTTGCTTTTTCAATGATACAAAGCTCAAGAGTAAACGCAGGTCAATTCCCATGAACAGCTGTATATATAAAGCATAATCAGAACTGTTATCAGGCATTCAAAACAAAAGCCAAATTAGACTAAAATGTTGGCTTAGCCACTCTATAACATACATTTTTCTGTAATGTCTCATCAGCATAATGTACAGTACAATGAAATAAATACGTTTTATTGCATGAATGCCTTGGCTTTTTGGTGGCTTAATACATTCCTTTTTGTTTCAATTTAGTGTGTAAAGTTTGTGCTCAATAACGTTTTGGCACTCGCTCAATACTGCAGAAATAAAGAATTTAGAATATCAGAAAATATGATAAATAATCCTTGCATTACGCCTTTTCACGTCATCAAAATGTTTCAAAGCTTGTCACACAATTTTATTATAAAATGTAGTGATTGTGTATTTGTATGTAAATATTACGTTCTTCAACCCAGTTAAGTTTCCACATGCTTTAGAGAAACCTGACACCTAAAACTCTTAATCATTCTTAAAACATAGTACTGTATTTGGTCCCTTGCTCCACTTTTGCTTATTGTAACCGGAATTCATCTGATTAATAACTCTCCTCACAAAGAGAGGAAGCTTAGGTCTATGAGTTTCCTACTTATTGCTTTTAAACAGATGCATTAATTTCCACTGAACGTTCAGTGTTGATGAAGAGTGTCTTTCCCGGAATTTTAGAAAGAACCTCCATTAGCCAAATGATACCATCACTTGACCAGTGAGGCAATATAAATATGACTACAAACTTTGTTTTAAATTGGAATCTGATCTCATTCCAGATTCCATTTGTAAGACCCTGCGGTGGCGAGTTTTAGTTGCACAGACTGTCTGGAGTCTGTACAGCAATGAGAAATAATTAAATCTGTGTGGACTGCAACAACTATTCTTATCCGCCATGACTCAAATCTCCCTTACCTCCCCACACCCTCCTTCCTCATCACACGCCAGCAAATGAACAGGTATCATAGTTTTATCATTTTAAATGTACGAAGTGAAATGAAGGACGCAAACAATTGGATAGCATGACCAGTTGCTGACACAAAATAAATTATTGCAGTCACACCAACAATAGATTGATTTACCAATACAACAGAACCTGATAATATAAATCATAAAAGGCAGTGATGCAAGTTGCTGACGTTTATGAAAAGCCTGCGAGTACAAAGTTCAGAGGCGTTTGCAAAAAGTCTATACTGACAATGGCATTTACTTTTTCCACACACGAGTGTTACTTCCATGGTCTCTGTCATTGTATTAGTCATCAAATTTACCAAACTAGAGGACAACCTTGGCATCCAGTTCAATCCTCAGCTTTCCTTCCTCCCTCACATTTGGTCCCTGCTTTTCTTCTCCTCTGCGACATTGCCTGTCTCTGACCCCATTTTGCACCAATGGTGCAAAACCCTTATTCACACCTTCCACCGAAACTTTTCTAATGCACTCTTCACTGGTCTCCCTCGCTCTAACATCCATAAGCTCCAGATAATCAAAACCTCTTCTCCCCACATCCTCACCTGCACCAAATTCCACACCTATCATTTCAGTCCTTGCCAGCTGGGTCCGTCACCCCCACCTATAAATGTCACCTTTACCAAGCACCCCCATTTCTATGATCTTCTTCTACACCACTCCTCTGCATCTTCTGCTCAGCTAACTCAGGCTTGCTGCATGTCCCTCACACCCTCCAGGCCACAACTGATAGCCAAGCCTTCAGCTATTATGCCCCTAATCTCTGGAAGTCCCTCCTTCTCCCCCTATCTTTAACTCCCACCATAAAACCTGCCTCTTCATCTGGGCCTATGACCAATTCGCCTTTTTTTAAAAAGTATTTTTTCAATGTATTTTCCAAATATAACACTGAAACACAAAAAGAGGTTCGAAAAATATGCAGTTCTCACTAGAATGAATATTTTGGGATGGTTTTATTCAGTTTGGGGACTGCTTTTAATGTCACTATCACTACAATAAAATTAATGTGCAAAAATGAATGTAGATTTAACTTAAAGGATTTACAATCATGGGAGTTATTACTTAATACTTGAATTTTATTTTAAAGGCATTCTTTGGGAATTTTCCAGACAGTGTATATTATTATACCAAAAACTACTGATAAATAATATAAAGGTTTAATTTTATCTGTACACTAGATAGGGAAATCCACATGGCCACATCCACTGAATATATAAAATAGTGGTATGTGTTTGCAAAACGCTGAAATGAGACATTTATCAATACCTCAGGCCTTTGTCACCACTTGGGAACGCTGCTCACCATAAATAGGTCAGAAACTATTAACCAGATTTCATGTCAGCAGTTACCATAGTTCATTTCTGTTATTAATAAGAAGTCTTGCATTTGATGGATATGGGGAGAAATGGAGATAGAAAGGAAATAAGGAACCCCATAATAATATCTGCATTTGATATAGCACCTTGTCACGTCTTCGAGAACTCTCAAAGCACTTCACGGAATATACTGTAAAGAAGTAATTGTACATTTTGTAGGCAAAACACGGCAGCCAATTGCACACCGCTGTGTCCCACAAACAGTTGTGGACTGAGTGACCAAATTATTATTATTTTTTTGAAGGATTACACCCAGAAAAGCAGTCCATCAATCGACTGACAACCAGATTCCTACTTACTGCTAGGTAAACAGAGGCGTGTGGAGAAAGGAAACTTGTCCAACATTTCGCCCTGCCCGGGAATCGAACCCAGGTCCTCTCGTTCGCGAGGCGAGCGCTCTAACCACTTAAGCTACCGGACTACCGCGTTAAAGGGGAATGAGGCGCGCACGTAACATAGCTCAGCAACAGAGCTTTCCCGATTGATTTTCTTTTTTTAAAAAAAAATCATTTTCTCGCTCACCAGGAAAAAAAAAGTTTTAGCTTTTCCGCTCCTGTGCAAAAAAACCCCCCCCACACAAGCAGCGACTTGCTTCATTCACCTTTTTTAAAAGCTGAACTGTTGGCGTTTTAACTCACAAAAAAAATAAGGACAAAGAGAAGAAGAGAACACTGACAAATGCTTGTACCAGGGGCCCAGGCCAAACAGCCACCTGTGCATTTCGCTGCCCAAAACTTGCCCCTGACAACGGGGACGCCGGCGGCAGACGGGCCTCGTAAACCCACCTCGATTAACAATACACCGCGTCCCGCTTCGGCTCGGGCGTATCTCTGGGGAGAGGGTACGTGGGCTGGTGTGAGCGACGGTCATTTGACCTCGCAGACCGGCCGAGGCCTCACGGCTGCCCTCACGGCATCTCCCTCGTTAGCAACGGCGCGCGAGAGCCAGAGGGTTGGGCGTGTGGGGGAGGGGTGTGTGGGAGAAGGACGTCTGCGGCTGCGCGCGCGCGCCTTGCACCTTGGGACTTGTAGTTCCCTCCCGTGTATTCCGCCCGCCGCGAGGAAAGGCTCGCACTACAAACTCCCGGCGGGCAGTGCGAGCGCCCGCCACGCCCGTTTCAAAATAAGGCGAATGCGCATGCGCCATCCAACCAACCAGCCACCCTTCCCCTCCCTCCCTCTCCTGACTGAGCTGCTAAAAAAAGCGCACACACACACACACACACCACATAGGTGCTCGGCTTGAATGACTTCTCATTAAAACTACACAAAAGGAAGAATCTCAACGTTACACATATTGATCCTTGCCCGCGATCAGGTGGGTTCGTACTCGTAGTCGTTCGTGTATTTTTTTTAAAATTAGCTAACCGTTTCTCCCGCCGCCTCCTCCTCCCCCCCCCGCGTGCGCGCGCGCTCGCTCGCCCGCTCCCCCCCCCCCCCCCCATCCCTCTACCGGCACATTCAAGAGAGGGAGCGCTTGCTTGTTGATGGACAGATCGGCCGACCCAATGGGAGGGGAGGGGGCGGCCCTTGGCAAGGAGTGGGCGGGTCTCGCCCCGCGGATTGTCCAATGAGCGGAGGGGCGGCAAGCCGGTCAGGTCGATGCTCCAGTCGGTGCTGTTGGGGGGGGCGGTCCGCAGCGGCTTTGTACATTGTCCTCGCGCGTCGTCGTCGAGCGGCAGCAGCAGCGGCGGCAGAAGGAGAGTCCGCGAGCGCCTGAATGCCGACGCTTCGGGTTTCGCGTGAAGTTTTAAAGGACTGTTGTGCGGCGGCGGCGGCGGCGGGAAAGGAGGTCTCTCTGAGGGAAAAAGAGATCGCCGTTGACTTTTTTTTGTGTGATATATATATGTAGATGTATATAATATCATACATAACAACATAATTTGCCACACGCAGACAGAACGGTGAAGAGCACACGGAAGGAAACGGATTTGGACGTCGACCTCTCGAGGAGTCGTCGATTTTTTTTTACCTCATTCGATCATTTTTTTTTGGAGGAGGAGGAGGAGGAGAGGGGTGGGAGCTGCTGCTGGTGGTGCTGGTGGTGGGGAGGGGTTTCCCAAAACCGTCGCTATGTTTTATTTCGCGATTTGCGACTGATTTGACTGACTGCCCGACCACCTCCTTAACTGCTGCTGCGGCTTTTTTTTTCTCTCTCCACCACCGCCATCTCCCTCCTCCTCCTCCTCCCTCCCCTCTCCCCTCCCCTCCCCGTTTCTTCTTATTACACAGTTTGTGGTAAGTGAAGAGAGAGAAAGAAAAAGAGAGAAAGAGAGAGAAGCGTTGGTTGGGTAACGCCCCGGCAGCTGAAAATAAAACCATTTTACTTTTTGTGTGTGTGTGTGTGTGTGTATGTTTGGTCGCGGAAGTAGCATTCGTTTACTAGAAAAAAGCAGATCTATTATATATATATATATGTATGTGTGTGTGTGTGTATATATATGTATTATATCTCAAAAACGTGTTCTTGTTTAAAATTCCAGGACAACTTTTTTGATCAGCAGTTTGGGATCCTGTGTGAATTAATATATATATATATATAGACACACACACATACATTTATATATATATATATTTATATTTAATAGATCTGCTTTTTTTCTAGTCAAGGAATGCTACTTCCGCGACCGAACACACACATACACACACACACACACAAAAGTAAAATGTTTTTGTTTGTGATGTATGTGATTGTTAACTGAAGGGTTTGTGCCTTGAGAGGTTGGGGGGGGGGAATGTCCTTCTGCAATTTGTTTTTTTTTAAAAAAGATGTGATCAAACGTGTGTATACTAAGGGTTGGGGGTTAGGGTTAGGGGTGGGGGGGGGGAGGAATTGTTGGCAGTGTTTAGCAAATGGGTCAATTTTGTTGGGAGAAAATGTAATAAGCACACTGATTTGAAGGAGAGAGTGCGAGGGGTGAAATCGGTTTAATATAACATTGTTTTTTTAAAAAAAATTCATTTAATTTCATTTCATTTAAAAAAAACCCGGTGACATAATTGAACGGGTCCTTACCGGAGCTGAGGAAGGAGTGAGAGACTGTAGATGACGAATTGTCATCAAACAGCGAGTGACATCTTTTGCGGAGCTCTGTGTGTGAGTGTGTGTGTGTGTGTGTGTTGGGGAGGGGGACGCTCCCACTCCTGCACTTGCTCGTCCACCAGAAAATCGCAGGAAGAGTTTGCATGGACTTATTATCACTGTTGTGGTTGTCGTCGTTTATTCTCTTGTAATCCTTTTTAATGACACGCTGCCGTTGCTTCGGTGGTGCGTTGACTTGTTTGGGTGGAGGATCCACTTTGGTTTTGAACCTAGATTGTTTTTTTTTGAACCAAGATTGATTGTTAAGGTTGTTTTTTTTTAAAAAACACTGTTTTTTTTAAAAAAAACTGTTTTTTTTTGTTGTTTGATTGAAGTACAAACGGATCACCTGCAATTGACCCGTTCGGCTAGATATCGGGGGCGTTGCTCAACTGAATTTATTACCATCACGATCACTGTTTTAATTCATCTGCAGCAAAGACTTGGAAATAAGATTTGGTTTCAATCGAGTTGTAACGGGCAGAGGAACCAAGTCAGTCAGTGAATGGTGTGTGGATTTCCAAGCGATATATTTCATTTCAGTGCATTTTCGACCCTTGCAATTAGAAAGAAAGCAAAGAGTCATCGGATTGTTGACCTTTGGTATAGTTTGCAAATGTGTTCAAACAAAACATTTTTTAAAAAATTAAAACAATTCGAGCCAACACTGGATTAAAACGCGGATCTCTCTCTCTTATTTGTTTCGCCATTGTCGCCGAGGCTTTTATTTTTAATGCTGGAGAAATGGGGGTGGGAAAAACTCAAACAAGAAATGCTTGGAACCTTCGAAGTGTTCACCAGATCCAATGTTGGTAAAGCTGTGAGTTAGATTTATTAACCTAACCAGCACCAAAGATGGATCAAACTTGGGAGAGGAGCTCACAACAATTCTTTTGTACATACTGGGAGGGAGGGGTGAGGAGTGGACAATGAATGGTTCAGTGATGGGCAGCTGTCAGTTTTAGGGTGGGATCAGGCTCAGCCGATGGATGCACAGTAGTGGTGTGTGATTGGTTATTGTCAGATGGGTGTGGCAGGTGGGAGTGAGACAGAGTAACAGAGGGCAACAACAACTTCCATTTTTATAGCGCCCCCATGAAGCACTTATCTTGTGGTGGATGGGGGGGAAGGGGAGAGAGGCTTTGCCCAGTGGGATGGGTGGTAAGCTACTGGTGCATGCATCCCCTGGAGCATCAGTCACACTGCAGAGATTCACTCTGGCTTAATAGCGTTTTGCTCCACTTTCTTTGCAAGCTCAATGGATCACATTCTACATACTGTATATTTTCTCAACTTTGAAGATTTTGGTGGAGATTATTGGGTGTTTTGCAAGGATGTGATCAGGCTCTGTATCAAATGCAATGATTATTATTAGTATTCCATGCATTTAGTGTAATTTAATGACTGTGGGGCACTGTGTGCAATTGGCTGCTGCATTTTGCTCACAAATATACAATCAATTCACTTTACAGTATAGTCTGAAGCGCTTTGAGAGATCTAGAAGGAGTAAAAAGCGCTATATCAAATGCAAGGATTATTATATTATAATGCCTTTCGCATCAGAAGGATGCCCCTTTAAAATTTCTTGGGATTACTGTAAAATGTAGTGACTGTATTTTATAGATAAAGACAACAGTCGGTTTGCATGCCACAATGCCCTCCAGGTGGCTCTTTGGTTGCTCCAGAGAAATGACCCAAATTGAAGACTGAAATGATTCAAGGACTATAAATAAATATCTATGCACAAGTTATGTGGGTTTATATGGACGGACAATATCAAAATAATATTCCCTGTGGTGCTCCAAGGCATCCTCCATGAAGGGCTCAAAATAAATCCACGGTTGATAACATCAAAGAATTTCCAACTAGAACTTCACCTCATAACAAACATCTAGATCGACCGATATCATAAAATCAATGAAGAAATTTGCCTTTGGTAAAGATGTAGTTATGCAGTCTCAGGAAGTTGCATCACTTTATGTGACAATGCAGTTTCTTTTGGGTATTTTACACACAAGTCTTTCTTCTATAGCGTTGCTTAATGGTCAACTTGCCATGCCTCGTTTTAAATGGGGCTCAAGAAGCTCTTTTCATTCATGGAGCAGCCATCAAGAAGCAGACTTCTGTCACCAGATTCTGAAAAATTTGACCAGAAATGCTATTGGATGTTTACAGCGTGTGTATAACTCTTAAAGGCTGAGCACTAAACTGTTCTGATTGTGTTAATAATACTTGCATTTGATATAGCGCCTTATCACATTGAGACGTTTCCAAGCGCTTCACATAATATACTGTAAAGTGAGTGACTGCCTTTTGTGAGCGAAAACCCTTGCCTTTGGGAGTTTCTTATATAATAATTATTATATATTATTTCTTGTCTTAATATATCAATCAGCTGCTGAAATGACCAAACTGACCTTTGCTGAAATTTGTTGCAAAGGTCAAAATTGCTCTCCTCCCTTTATTGATCAGATTTATCCTAGTTCATGATGAGAATGGCATTATTGACTTCACGTAAATGGGGCCACAGTGATCTGGAGTGAAATCCATGTGTCTCGGAAATGTGCTTGGCATGTAATCCAGCAGAATAAAGGCACTTGAAGTGTTAGATACAGAAGAACCATATAGAGTAGGTTGGAGGTGTGTGTGTAATGGTACATAAGGGTAATTTTAACCATTGAGCTTGATGCAGTGTGATAGGCAGAATGAAAGTGTGAATGTGAGGTTACCAGAATGGCAGGACTGTTCGATTGTTGCCTGTGGTTGGCCATCGCTGGCCTTTTTAAAAAAAAACTAAAAATGTATTTGTGTACCATAAATGCACATGTTGCTTATTTTCTGAAGACCACATGTAGGAATCTTCTTGGTTGTGGGTACACACTGAGTGTGTTGGTGTTAGGATGCAGTGAGAGGGGCTCATTGGTTTGGGACGTCCTGCCAATGTGAAAGGCACTATACGGATGTAATTTGTTGTTGTTGGTTCTTAGCTGAACATATGAGTTCTCAGCCCAGAAGATCAATATTAGATACGAGTTCTGCTAGACGTAGGGACCTCAGTTATCTAGCTGGTTTATGGGGAAACAGAATTTGGCTGGCTGGTTCAAAGTTCAGATGGTTATAGATTTGCCTATTTACTGTTTAAATACTTGTATGCTAATCACAATTTGGAGTGCTGAGGGCTTCATGGATATTTGCTTGTTATCTGCAGGGTTGATGACTATCATGACACTAAGAGTATGGATGTCGGCAAAGTCAAATGTGCCCACAGTTTGTCATGTTTGCAGCCCTTTGAGGATTAGCTAACACTGGAGTATTACAGGAGAGTACAATTACTTGGTACTTACCAGCTCCAACCTACTATCCCCCTACCTACCTGCCCGTACCCTCCGTTCCTCTGGCTCCGGTCTGCTCCACGTCCCCCGCCCCAACCGCCCTACCATCGGTGGTCGGGCCTTCAGCCTCTCAGCCCCAGGCTCTGGAACTCCATCCCCCAGTGCCTTCGCCACCTCCTCCCTTTCCTCCTTCAAGGCCGGTCTCAAAACCTTTCTCTTTGACCGAGCCTTCAGCTCCCCTCTCGACTCTCTTTCCCCCTCCTCGCTCCCTCCCCTCACCCTGACCATTTCCCCCCTCCTCGCTCCCTCCCTTCCCTCCCTCACCCTGACCATTTCCCCCCTCCTCGCTCCCTCCCTTCCCTCCCCTCACCCTGACCATTTCCCCCCTGCTCGGGTCATGACCCAACTGTGCAGCGCCTTGGGACGTCCTCCTGACGTGAAAGGCGCTTTATAAATGGAATCTTGTTGTTGTTGTTGTTGTTGTCCAGGACACTGGGAGAAACTCACTTCTCCTTTGGACAAGTGTAATGAACAGACAGGCAAAGCCTCGTTAAGTGTCACCTGAAGGAAGGGCACTACTGACACGGAAGTGATGTCAGCTGTAATGATAGTGAGCTATGAGGTGGTCATTTTTTAGTTTGGGAAGTTGTCCAGTTTGTATCAGAAGCTAGAAGTGTACTGCATTTGCAACCATAGGCCACATTATAGACACTTGCACTGTAGTCAAGCTCTTTATAATGGGTACTCTCAGTATTACAACTACAGCAACTTGCATTTTTATAGCGCCCTCTACGCTAGATAGTCTTGGAGTGCTTGGATCTATA